ATAAGCGGATAGGTAGATTATTCATCTAACTTCAAGACATTATTTCTGGCTAGCCTTAACCCAATTCATCAAAGAACATTGCAGTTTTAATTCGAACATAGTCTTGCAAGACATTACTTTTTACGCCGCCCGTATCAAATAGCGAGGACGGGATGCCCGAATGCACTTAAACTTTTTTACGGTTATTTTTTAAACTATAGCTAGACCTAGTTGAACGATGATACCCATCGTTAACGAGCTTTTTATGAAAAATCGTGAGACGCTGTTTAGTGAGACACTAGTGTCATAATAAAACTACTAAAGTCAGCTAGCTGCATGCCCCGGCTTGTCATGGGTGTACTATTCCGTACGATTTTTCATACATTTCTTTTTATCCGAATCTTGTCCTGACAATTACAAAGATAGCAAAAAAAAAATTGCCAAATATGGTATGTGCAGCCATTCCGAAGTAATGAGCTTACATGCATTCGACAAATGTTTTTATTTATATAGATGTGCCACCACTTTGATTATTGGTACTTAGAATTTGATATATAACCACAAAGCTTTTCGAAATAAGCCCTTTGTTTCCAATTATTAGTACATTTCTAGTTGATTTGTCTGGGTTCTTAAGTCAAGGTTTTGCTCGTTAACACAAGTGTTCAGTGACTTATACGTTTCAAGAGAGTTCTGGTCATTGAGTAAGTATCTTTTGAAAAGGCAACTAAATATAGATACATAACTGAGTCAACTCAATGGATTCTACAGTGGACTTGAATATTTGTTTACGTAAACAACTAGTTAACACTGACGAAAAATAGTTAAATAAGTAGGTCAATAATTTCATCAGGAATGGCAACGCATGGGGGGTATCATGGGCGAAACAGTATACTCTGTTATGTCCATGATACTGCTCATGTCTATAGGCGACGGTTACCACTTTTCATCAGGTAGACCGTCAGCTTGATTGCCATTCTAAGTTGTATAAAAAAAAAAATGTTAAGTTTGTTATCCAAAAAGGATAACAGATTTCTTAACATATTTGAAAATAGATATCTTACTGATATGGGCATATCGAAACTTTTTTCCCGCCATCCATCCCAGAGGAATCCAATATATAGATATTGGATCGGTATCTACATCACCCATGTCTATTGATAATATCTACCTGTTATTTAAAGATATCGAAGCTCAGATGTGGATGGTAATACATGCTCAAATTTGGATGGTAATACATTACCTAGGATACAAATAACATATAAGAGGAAGAAAAGGCATAGTTAATAATGGGGATTAGTAGCCCTAATGCTAGCAATACACCCTATCAGGTCGACCTCCTGGCGGTTCCCCTGGGAACCATCGTGTTCTAATTCCAAGTGAATTCATCACGATGAGCTAACTGACCTGCCCTTTTATTCTCATCTATCATCCCACACTGGTGCTCCGCAAACGTATACCATTCTATTACCATCCATTAAAAAAAAACGAGAAAGTTTTGACGTACACACCTACGTCTGTCGTTAGTGTAAAAAACTGAGAAGACATATACAGTGCATATTTTCGGTGCATAATATATTTCAATCGTTTACATTTCAATTGAAATATTTGGCATACTAATTGCAATAAATAAGTTTCTTGCGAACGTAATCTTTAGTACCTAATTGCTAAAGCCGTTACTGGCACATTTAAATAAAGGAAGTCTGGTTACAGCGTCTATTACGCACAAGAATTTTTTTTAGATAACGACCCATTTCATTGTGTTTCCTTTGGCTTACTGCCACTTCAAGTGATGCTGAAGGTTTACTGATGCTTCACGTTTAGGTATTTCATCGGAAATTTATGCAAGTTTTTATTTATTTTCATTTATAGTAGGTAATATGTCACGTGTGGGTATATGCAAATTTATTAGATATGTGAAAACAAAGCAAAACAATCCGTACGTAAGCTCAAGTGTTTGGTCTGAAAGATGACGATAAAATAAAATTTAGTTATAACATGATAATCAAGGAACTGGCACAAATAGTGTCTTTACCTCGACGCCTTATATGTACTTCAGTAAAAAAAAAATCTTTTTTAAGAATTTTATTGAAGAATGTAACGGATAGTGCGCGGGATATTTGATTCCTTTTGACGCAGTGATGTTTTTAGAAAAAAAAAATATTACATAGTTATATATAAATATAGTATACGGAATATCAAGTCATAGATATTTATCTTTTTTTTTATATATATATATTATTTATACCTTCTTCAGGTATATCCTATATTATTATAATAAAATTGTAACCAAACAATGTTTGTACATAGAAGATATATAAGAAAAATTGGTAAAAAGAGTCTCAATAAAAGCAAGGAAAGCCGAAGCAATAATTTTTAGTAATTTTGTCTGTCTGTACGTTTGTTCCTGCAGTACACAAAACCCACTGCACCAAATTAGATGCAGTTTTTACTACGGTTCTACTCTTTTAAAGTTTACTTTGATACACCATTTAGAATACGCAGTAATGGACAGAAAGTTAGTTAAGAATGGATAACATTAATAAATAAATAAAATAATAAAATAAGATCAAAATAAAAAGCTTTTTTACTTATTTTTTATTTACATAGATTTTTTTTTTATATAGGTAAGTATATTTATTGAATAAACAAAAATATAGTTTGAAGTCAAAAGTATGTATTTAATAGCTCTAACCAAAGGCAACGCCAATTACACGATCTAATAATATATTATTTTTGACTGTATGCAAAAATATACATGATTATGTGTTCGCGCCTGGCGGATATTATGCGCATGCGCCGTTTCATATGCAATTGGCGCGCAGCTATTTTCATCAGCGCGCGTTTATTTTGTCGGTAAACATTATTGTTTTCGATGTTTATCGTTTGTACAATGTAAAGTCTACAGTTTTTAATAAAAATCCTATGAAATAATAGTATTTTGAAAACTTTGTCACTTTACATTTATTTGTTCAAAGTTAAGGAGCCATATCTCTGGTTCAGCAATGGCTACGGAAATTTGATCAAGCCGTTATCCTATAAGTAAAGGGTAAAAGTACTTTATCCTATAATTATAAAGGAATTTAAAAAAGAAAAAGGTTTAGCAATTCGATTGTATATTTTTATGTGTCATCTGAGAACTCCTTCATTTATACTTATATATCGATTTGGAAAATTATTTATATTTTTATCTGAAAGGAATTTGGAGATTGGTCCCATAGAAATTTCATCAAAATTTTTTTTGTAGTTTGGTTTATAAGTTAAAATAATTGGTATTACCTCGTTTAAAGTCGGGTTTTTTGTGAAACAAAAAACTATATTATATACATACATAAATTAGGGAGCTAGATTATTGCTTCTGAATAGTTAGTACTTTCATTTGATAAAGATGAGGGCCTACCACGAAATATTTTCCGAAATTTCGGGGCCGAACCAAATATAAATTTGATGATAAAATTACATAATAAATACCGTTTAAAAATATTAAAAATGTCAAAATATCGTTGCTTTAAACTTTTATTTTAGAATTTATAACGAACAAAATGTCAAGATCCATTCACTGGACCGATTTCGGTATGAACAAAAACACGAAATATTTATTTACCCACTTATAACTGTCTTTCATAGTCCGCGAGGAATATACTGTACAGCAACTTGGCAACATAATATGATTAAAATGAATAACAAAACGTGTGAATGCTTGAATTGGGTCGCGTTTAATTTAGCTATTGGACGGCAATCTCGTCTAACAAGACATTTGACTTATCAGTATTAGATTTATTGTTATTTAATTAGATTGCCCTTCAAAAAGGGCGTATTGAAGTTTCTTGGTATGGCAACACATGCATGATCGTTCTGACGTTGATGTCGTACAGTATCGAAATGCCATTTACGGACCAAAAAAAAAAAACAAATGCTGAAGATAGGCTTCTCCCATAAGGGTTTTGTCAGTAGTTGCTACGCTTGGCAGGCGGTTTGCAACCACAGTTTATCTTTACAAGATGTTTTAAGAGGGTCGTTGCTACCTATCACTCAACCATTAAGTTCTCTAAGTCGCCTCTTACGACACCTTTTAATAAATGATGATGTTAAATTTTGACAAAAATTTGTATGAGACCAATGTATTATAAAGGTCTAGAATCGTAATAAGATCTTGTTTATTAAAGTTGTTTAGTAATAAATATTAATAACTAATGTTTATTCATGAAACATGAGGGATGGGCAGAAGCGTCCCTCTTAAAACATCTCTAAAACCTAACTGTGATTGCCAACGCGATTGCCAAGCGTAGCAACTACTGGCAAAACCCCTAAGAGGCTGGCTTATGTTCAGCAGTGGACAGTTAAAGTCTGATGGTTTATGTAAACTTAATATATACATAAAATAAGCATTTTTGATTGGTCATTTTTTTAAGAATCTACCACCCAATAATTGATCATACCAATTTTAGTTCTTTATTCTACTTATAAATTATATGAAATAAAAGAAAAAAAAATTGTTTATAGATACCTGCATTTTGAATAAGGGTTTATCTCTGGAACAGTTCTCTTCCAGACCACGATTGGAATAATAAATATTAATAATAATCGATTTATTTTTTCTTCACAATTCATTAGAGTAAAATATAATGAGATAAGCTTATATTAAATAATTTATTCATTTATACATTTGCACACATTAGAACATGTCTACAGGGCGAGCTTAATGCCTGATGGCAATCTCTACTAGTCAACAGTTACGTTAAACAGAGAGATTAAATGGCGGTGTGTAGATTTAAACAATAATAATGTAAGTAATTACTGTAATTAGATATTAATGAAGGCAGTTTAATTACAATATTCATAATCGATGTATTTAACATCGAAATAATAATCTGGGCCCATAACCTGGCAAATTCTGATGAGGTGGAGTGCAAATCGGAGGCGGCTGTGCATGAGTGGCCAATACGGTGCACTTGAAGCATTTGCTGAACAAATGTCTATATATACAGTGCTCTTCTATATACACGATGATGATATCGACTCACCTGCGAGAGCTTGGGTATATATGTGATGTACGGGACGTGATAGTACGGTAGTAATGAGGATAGGTAGTAGAGCGACGTCAGCGGCTGCCGGGGCCGGTGCAAATGGAAATAATCGTAGTGTTAAAACGAACAAGTACTAGTAGGTAACGTTAAGGCCCGAGCGCACGACGGACATGTTCGGCACGCGAACAGATTGTCCTATTTCTGCGCAGGCCATTATAAATAGTAATAGTAAATTCATCTGTCCTTTATTTATAAATAGGAATACAAAATGAAGGTATATTTATGATAAGTAAGGCTATATCTTCACCACCCTATAATTATAAATATCTGGATACATTAATGTTGTGTGTATAAATTTGAAATAACTAACTTATTATATATATATATATATATATATATATATATATATATATATATATATATATATATATATATATATATAAAATTAACCAACTATTAACCAACAACAACACAGTGTTTTTTTGTATATATTTAGTTATAAAATATATTTAATTATTATATAAAGTATTAAGAAAATACCTACACCTGAAATCTACTGCAGAAGTTTAGTTCTCATATTTAATACTATAGTGTACATATAAATATATGTCTTTTTAATTCCCTAATTGATTCTAGTTTAAGAAAATGAATATTCTAAATTTTAAATGTCTATTAGGTAATTATAACTTCAATACTGTGAATAAATAACTAAGAAATTTAAAGTATTGTAATAAAATTTGACTTCTTAATCACTGGTAGTTAATGTAATGTAAATATATATGACATACTGCATATTCTGTCTGTGTATTAAAATTTGAGTACTTCTATCTAAAAATTCGTAAACAAATTGTAAATATTATCATAAAATCAACGTAGTCACGGTTCGTGGAACGTCTACGAACTATTTCTGGAGTTGTTTGTTATTGAAACGAATTCGCGTAACAAATCTTATGATTTACGTAAAAGATTTATGTGAACAATTTATCTTTAAATATAATAAGTACTCGGTTATAAGTAGGAGAACACAGACCAAAGGTAAAAGAGAACAAGACAACAAAAAAGATTGTGTTAGTAGGTAAAGAAAGATCTAGTTCATCCGATCTTTGTACCTATCCACAGGTGTTTCGTGTGAGGAACATAAAGTACACAGGAAATATTAGAAAACGCAAGCTTTATTAAAAATTTCAGTCTGGATCACATTGAAATAAATTAAAAATAACATCTAAAAGCTCTATTAAGATTCGCGTCCACTTCTTGACAATTGAAAGTAGAGCGATCACATTGCGTTATAGCGAATACTGATTAGGTTACATATACGAGTAGGTAGGGGGCGCGGGAGAGGCCACGGGAGGTTAGGAGTGTGGCGGGTCGGGGTCGGGGTAGGGAGCCGGGGCGCTACACGCGGTAGTGGTAGTGGCGGTAGTTGGTGCCGTAGGGCAGGCGGCCGCTCGCGGTCGACGTGTAGGAGTACCCGCCGGGCCCGCCGAGACTGCTCGACCGCTCGCTGGTGTACGAGTAACCGCCGGGGCCGCTGCCGGAGCGCCGCTCCACCGTGTTGCTGTAGCTGCTGCGCTGCGGCAGCCCGCTGCCCGTCGAGCGCTCCGTCGTGCTCGAATACGAGTAAGAGTACTGCTCCTCGGCACGGCGCGGCAGCGGGTCGCGGTCCACCACCACGTAGTGGCGCGGCGTCTGCAACAACCGCGCCCCATTGACACCACCGCCGACCTCCCCCACCGCCCACCCTCGCACCAACTCGACCGACGACTAGCTATCTAGCGAAAGCGACACACGACAAACGATCCCATCGATCAATACGTGGCGTAGTTGCTGTAATACACATGCCGGTGCGCCGGATGTTGCGGGCGGCCGTGCGCTTGCGCGAGCAGGACGTCCATGTGGTCGCGCGGCGTGCCCAGCGGGTCGGCCGCGTACGACCGTTCACGGTGCTCGACGGCGGACAGGACGCGCGCCCGCGTCTGCTCGCGTGGCGATACGTACGGCGCTAGCGGCGCCAGCTTCGCTTGCGGCTTCGGCGGGATGTTCTGCTTGATCACCGGGTCGAGCACAGAGGCGCGCGTGCCGGGCCTGGTGCGGCGCCCGAACGCCGTGATCGGATCCGGCACGAGGCTCGGCCGCGGCACAAACGGCACCTTCTCCCAGTCCCCGATCGTCGGCCGCTGCAAGCGTAGAAGTCGCCGTTAGTCGGGCGAGCGTCTCTCCAGCCGCGGCTATATTTGGCGCGCTCGGTAGCTCCGCTTTCCGACTTAGATTCTCGATACAACATGACCCACTTGCGGAATACTACCACGACAATGTCTATGCAGATCGATTATACCGAAGTAACCTAGTTCTAGGAGGATCGTACTTAATGATAGCAATAATGTTTACAAGCGGGTTCTAACGAGATCCTGTTGTCACAGCTAACTCACTCACAGCTAATAAACAACCGCCTGCCTACTTCTTCGATTGCTGGACAAGCTGCTTACACTGAGGTGTTACGTTGGAAATTTAAAACAATAGATATCAAAGGACACGAGCGAGGGTCGAGATGGTGCGAGGGGCGTCCGGCTCCCGGGAGAGAGTGGAGCGAGGTGCGGTGCACTCTCAGTAGAAGGTGTTAGAAGGGCGGTGGCGACACTCACCGTCACACTGTAGCTGGATGTGGGCCGGTAAGGGCGGCGGGTAGTATAGAAGTCACTCTCGTACACCATGGCTGCGACTTTTCTCGTTCGACTGTAACTCGCGACGGTTGTTCCTCGACTGAGGGAGCGCGCATTGGCGCGACGCCGTCGACCTTATTTTTAGATCACTGTCATTGCAATTTCCACGTCACTCCCGAATCTCGCACGAGTTTTACTCTGGATTTACCTATAAAATATAACAGTTTCGTGATGTCACAAGTGGGTGAAGGATAATCATAACTGAGGAATGCAAGGAAATTACAAGGGTCTGATTAAAATAAACGCCACAAAATGCAACGTGTGGGTGGTTATTCTGACTCAGCACCAACAACCCTCAAACGTCCGTTGCGATTCGCGTAGGATGGAAATAATGCGTAAAAGTTAAAAAAGGGTATATTATGTTTTGTTTACATTACGTAGTTACCTATTTCAAACAACTTGTGTAATGTTTTCGTAGGTGACGTCTCTTCTAGAAACATCTTCATTTAATATTTTATACTTATTCAATAATATATTCCGTAGTGTTTATCATACATTTTTAATATTGTTTATAACTGTATAGGGTACATACTTAGATTATATAGATTATAGCATCGAGTCTCAAAAATGGGTTAACTTTTTGTCAGGCAATTGTCAAATAAGCTGATTCGATTTTTTATCAGTGTTCCATATACATACGCACATAATGTTTGCTTGGGTACCTCTGTCCCATTCGTGTTTCAACCGTAAAGCAGTTGTGTTTGTATGGCTGTGTTTCGGTTTGAAGGGTGGGATATAGCGTAAATTTACAGGGTACAGAGGAATAACACCTGAGTCCTCAGGAATGGCAACGCATGGGGGTATCATGGGCGAAACAGTATACTCTGTTATGTCCATGGTACTGCTTATGTCTATAGGCGACGATTACCACTTTCCATCAGGTGGGCCGTCAGCTTGTTTGCCATTCTAAGTTGTATAAAAAAAAAGTATATTCATTCAGACCAAAAAAAATGAAATCGGTTTAGAACCGACAGAGTTATGAGGATAGTAAATACGAAAAAAAAATCAAACCGAATTGAGAATCTCCTTCTTTTTGAAGATCAATATCTCAGAAAATTTATTCAATAATTTAGTTTTTAAATCAAAATAATTGTGATTTTACCACAATTGAAGTAGTTTAATTTTTGTGGAACCTTAATGACTCGGCACAATTTCTAAAAAGCGCTGTTGTGACATCTAAACATATGGGCGTTTGTTTTAACAGTAATTTGCCGAGGGAAAATTAAAAAATAATTATCTATAACGGGAACTAGTACCTACTCGCTAACAAAAATATAGTTAATTTAACATTGTAACAACTCTATATTATGTAGATAGATAGATAATTTATTTGCATTACTTACAGCACACAAATTACAACATATATTGATATAGATAAAAAGCGAGATATTTTTTTTTTTTTTTTACAACACAGGGGGCAAACGAGCATGCGGCTCACCTGATGGTAAGTGACTACCGCCGCCCATGATCACCCACAACACCAGCGGCATTGCAGGTGTGCTGCCGGCCTTTTAAAAAGGAATATACTCTTTTCTTGAAGGTTATGTTGTCGTATCGGTTCGGAAATACTGCTGCTGGAAGTTGATTCCAAAGAATGGTTGTGCGTGGAAGAAAGTGCCTTGAAAAACGCACGGTGGAAGACCGCCACTCGTCCAGATGATTGGGATGAAACTTTAGTTTGTGGCGGGTTGTACGGTGGTGAAAATCAGCAGCAGGTATCAATCCGAACAATTCCTCAGAACACTCCCCATGATAAATTCGGTAGAAGATGCACAGAGATGCAACATCTCTGCACAGTTTCAGTGGGTCAAGTCGGACAGTAAGGCGTTGACTATCGATAATTCGAGCCGCCCGACTTTGAATGCGGTCTAACGGAAGGAGTTGGTACTGTGGCGCTCCTGCCCACAGGTGAGAACAGTATTCCATATGCGGCCTGACTTGGGCTTTATATAATTTCAGGCGGTGTTTTGGCATGAAATATCGTCTCACCCTATTGAGCACTCCTAACTTTTTGGAAGCTATCTTAGCCTTCTCCTCCAGATGACCGCAAAACTGGACGTCGCAAGATATATCAACGCCCAGAATTCCTAGACTCGACTTTTTATCAAGGGAAGTGCCCTGAAAGTGAGGAGATACGACAAACGGCGTCTTTTTTGCGGTAAACGCGCAGACTTGTGTCTTTTTGGGGTTAAATTGGACAAGATTTTGTTCACCCCAGATCGAAACTTGATGGAGTGAAGTTTCGATTTCAGACACAAGTCTATTCCGGTACTCATCGGTATGTGCCCGCGAGATCTTTGCATGACCGGTATATAATGTATCTCCTGTACTGTCGTCTGCATAGCAATGAATATTACTTATCTGTAACATATCATTGATATGCAGAAGAAACAGAGTCGGAGATAGTACACAGCCTTGCGGGACACCAGCATTCAAAGGTTTTAAATCAGAGCATGCTCCGTCGACTACGACCTTAATGCTACGTTCCTTGAGAAAACTGGCGACCCAAATGCACAGTCTCGCAGGCAACCCAAATGAAGGTAGCTTTGAAAGCAGCGCTCTATGCCACACCCGATCAAAGGCCTTCGCAATATCCAGACTAACTGCTAAGGCCTCTCCCTTACTCTCGATTGCCACTGCCCATCGGTGTGTTAAGTAAGCTAAAAGATCACCGGCCGAACGTCCCTGTTGAAAGCCGTACTGGCGATCACAGATCAGCCGGTGCTCTTCTAGGTACCGGAGCAGTTGACGGTTAATGATGGATTCCATAACCTTCGAGAATAAGGAAGTGATAGCTATGGGCCTATAGTTAGCTGGATCTGAGCGATCTCCCTTTTTAGGGATCGGATGCACCAGAGCAGTCTTCCAAAACTTTGGGACTATGCCCGATGAGTAGCTAAGCCGAAAAAGACGCGTAAGAACCGGAGCCAACTCTGGTGCGCACGTCCTAAGCACAATTGGAGGAATACCATCAGGCCCACTCGACTTATGGATTTCGAGGGAGAAAAGTGCTCTACGCACTGAGCTATGCGTGAATTTAATGTCAGGCATAGAGCTCCTACAACACGTGATGGTCGGTGGTGGTTTCTCCCCGTCATCCAATGTCGAGTTTGACGCAAAGATGGATCCAAGAAGATCGGCCTTTTCTTTAGCGTTCTGGGCCAACGAGTCATCCTCCCTGCGCAAAGGTGGAAAAGATGACTTACAGAAATTCCCTTGTGCAGCTTTGGCAAGAGACCAGAAAGCTCGAGTCCCAGAGGGCAAACTAGCCAATCTCTTGCCAATTCTACTAATATGCTCTGACTACGCTGTGGCTATAACTCTTTTGAAAGACCTAGAGGCAGAGTTATACTTCTTTTTAAGAGCATTGGTGTTAGGATCTCGCGACGCCACACCTTTAGCCCAAGTTAGGAAGCACTCCTGTTTTAGACGAGATGCTGTTCTACAGGAGGCTCCATACCAGGGCTGGGATTTCCCGCCGACGGGCACCACAGAGTTAGGAATAAATAATTCCATTCTCTGAAGCACCACATCAGCAATGGAATCGGCAATGGCGTCGGGATCATCCAGTGTAAAGCAAACCTGCCTCCATGGGTAAGATGCGAAAAAAATCCGCATCTCATCCCAATCTGCCGACCTGTAGTGCCAAATGCGACGTCTACCCGTAGAACGAGGTGGAGTCGGACTCGTAAGAGGCACTTCGCTCCGCACCAAACAGCGATCCGACGATCCAAGCGGGGCTTCAACGGAGATCACATAACAACATAATTTATTAAAAAAAAAATACATAAAGCTAAATACAATTTTTTATTTGTGCGTGTGCCATAACAATACAAAATGGTCACAACTCAGTTTATTGCTTCGCCCTCAAAAGAGCAAAACACTGAATGCATTATAATAATAAATAAATAATTTTAAACTTTCGCGTTGTTTACACATATTTTTAAATACACGCGATGAAAAAGCTTTTACAAGGCAAATTGTACATACCAACATACCTGCTTCTATATTGTTCAAAAATTAAATTCATAATTACCTTTTTTCTTTAAAGATCTTTCATCGCGTTAAATCCCGATTGTGTATTTAAAAACAGTAATATACCTTGTCAGATAGAACTTTACGCGGCTTCTCTCTTCCAAAAACCGTCATAATTAATACCTAGGGTTTTTATGGACTTCATCTAAATCTTCGGGGGGAGAGGATTGTTAGTAATAATGTCTAGCCATCTTATTACTAGCAACTAGCAATTAACGCCAACAGGTTGACACCCACGCTATTCGTGGAACGGGGTTTATACTACCAACCCCATTGCTAGCAATATTCCTCCTGATGGTTCCCTCTAAAAACCATCGTGCTGAATTCCAGGTGTATTCGTCACGATGGGCTAACTGACCTGCATTTTTACTCTCGCCTATCATTCTACACAGGTGCCCCACCAGCGTATACTGTTAGCGTAGGCAAGGTTACCATTCCATTATCATCCATTAAAAAAAACTTTCATTAGGTCCCCTCCAGTCCAATGTCATTAAATTCTATCCCAGTTTGTTGTGATTTTGAACACGACTTATGTTTTAAAATCTTGTTAATTGAACGCTTCAATCTAGTATTGTTTTTCGATTCAGCGCTGTAGTGCCTCAAATGCTATGCTTAGTACGGACCTCGAATTTCACAGAACATTGCGACACTGCATATACGTACACTTACCTTATAATTTTAAATTTTAGTTTCATTGAAGCTAGTCACAGTCGATGCTTTATAAATTGTATTGTATTGCTTGTTTTGTTTTGGTTTATAATTAATATTGTTATAATTTTTTCGTTTATGCTATTGTGTTACCTAATTAATAAATTTTTTTCTTCCATAATATAAAGAAAACGAAATTAATTTAAAAGCGGTTTAGCAACAGATGTAAATTTATTATTTGCTCTGAAGTTGTAAGTAGGCGCTTACGCAATACTCCATTAAAATATCGACAGTATAAGGGACTACATTAAAAATAGGCATTTATATATTTTTGAAATGAATAAGAGGCACAACGTATCTATCTGGTTGTGCTTAATCTTAAATCCGATCCGAGAGTAAAAAATCTAGGAAAAAAATCCTAAACCAAACGTCGTTTAAACATACCTCTTAAGGCCGCTGCTGGTGTCATTATATATCTGCAATATGGTTCTGATACTTAAAAGCTCTACACACTTCATTAACCAAAGCATTCATGGTGGAAAGGAATTGTTAGCAATGGGTATATTAGTCCCCATTGCTAGCAATATACTCTGTTGGACCAACCTTCTCGTGGTCCTACCAGAAAACTATCCGTTACCATAGGGAGACGTTGTACAAAAGTCGATTGCTTGGGTACCTCTGTTCCATTCGTGTTTCTACCGTGAAGCAGTTGTGTTTGCATGGCTGTGTTTCGGTTTGAAGGATGGGATATGGTGTGAATTTACTGGGTACAGTGGAATAACACCTGAGTCCTCAGGAATGGCAACGCATGGGGATTATCATGGGCGAAACATGTTAACATAACATCTCTGTTATGTCCATGGTACTGCTCATGTCTATAGGCGACGGTTACCACTTTCCATCAGGTCGGCCGTCAGCTTATTTGCCATTTTAAGTTGTATAAAAAAAATAGGAGTAAGCAAATTCCATCTTCATTCATTAAAAAAAAAAGTCAAAGCGTTTTTTCAGTAGTATAAATAGGTATTATGTATACCTATAGATATAGTTGTAATTTGGTAATAACAATGACAAGGGGGAAAGGGATTGTTAGTAATAGAGACTGAGAATCCTATTGCTAGCAATATACCCAACCAGGTCGACTTCCTTGCGGTTCTCCCTGGAAACTATCATGGTTAATTCCTGATGAATTCATCATGATGGGCTAATTGGCCGGTTTTCATTCTCATCTATCACCCTTCACTGGTGCTCCGCCAGCGTATCCCGTCAGCGCAGGCGGGGTTACCATACCATTTTCATCCATTGAAAAAAAAAAATACCAATAACAAATTGTGCTTGTGCATCTCTAAAATCTAGACCCTTTTAGTTTTAATTATAGTCTTTGATAAAGATGGAAACAGCTACAATAATTTCAGTGCCACTCAATTCATAAGAAAACAGAAGAATAAAAAACTAATAATAACGCTTCAGTCTCATTTCTCTGTAATGTTGTCCTATGTAAGTACTTCTAGAATTAAGAATTCATTGGAATCTAAAAGATTTTGTTCCACAAATAAACCGACAACAATTGTGACCAGTCTTTTTAATTTAAAAACTAAACTACTAAACAATTTTAATAAAATTTATATGTGACTAATCTGTAAGTATATCCTTTCAGATAAAAAAAATCCAAATCGGTTTACAACTAACAGAGTTACGAGGTAACAAAAATTAAAAAAAAAAATCGCATTGAGAAATTCCTTTCCTGAAGTCGGTTGAAAATTAAAATTTATATTACAGTTAAATTATTATTTTAAGAACCAGTGTACATTGAATTTTAATAGAATTACGATATTTTTTTAATACCACTGAGACGGTAAACAGGCATAATGCCTGATGGTAAGTTTATTTAAACTATCAAATGAAATTGGCAACGTTAGAGGTAAATTTATAGAATGGTATCTCAAAATGGACTCCATCGTCAGATATGTTCAGTTAGAACGGGTCTTATTAAGTGAGCTTTTTCTTATCAGTGCTATAAAGGTTTATGGAATCACGGAAGGAAGAAAGGACTCTAACAAAATTTACATGCGATACATAAGCTAGTATATATGAAAAGGTGAATGTAAGGCTTTCACGATTTACTAGCATCGATTTTGATGGAATATAACGAAGACAGCCAGAGTCCAAGAGTGATGTTAGGACAAACCGTGCCTTAGTTCTAGTACATACTCGTATATGCCGATCATACCATGGCGAAGGGTGGTCACAATAGCGAATGTTAATAATACAACAATAATCAAAAGTAATTGTAAACTTAAACTATTTATTTCTTCTTTTACAAAATGACCTTTAAGAATTTACAATAAATTTCTCGTAGTCCGAATAATATATTGTGCAGACTTGAATCACAGAGTCGAATCGAACGTTCGTTTCATATAAAATTTTGGACCCAGAAATAAACATAATACAGTTAGTTATAATGGTAAATCAAACACCCGTTGTCCCAGACCCACTGCTTTATTGACTTACCAGTGTTTCCATACAATAAATCATAACAAGGTCAAACAAAACAACATGTGCCGAACTTAATAATTATAAATAGGTCAAACTGTCTGGCGCGTCTTGTGAGGAGTTCTGGGGTATATACTCAGTCTGCCAGCGCAGGGCGCCAATAAATATCAACGTATGTACACGAGGCCACTCGCGACACTACCCCCCCTATATATTTATAACTTTTTTAAATTTATAATTTATTTGTTATGTCCTATCTATGTAGGTCGACTAACTTCGGGAGCCGTTTACCCGTCCGAGCGCTGGCCGTAGCGGGCGAAGCGGCGACGGGCGGCAACGGCTGGCGACGGCGGGCGGCGACCGGCGACGGCTGGCGACGGCGAGCAACGACGGGCGACAGGCGACGGCCGGCGACGAAAACACTTGTCACACGGTTACTACTGAGACCACTTATATATGCCGTATGCCACCTATGGCGTTCACATAGTCCGTCGCTTGGCACATACAGTTTCATGTCACCGACTGTCACCGTTGTCTGCCCCGACATGAGCTTCGATGGATTTATATACAATATTGCCAACTTCGGGTTGTTTCTCTTGGAGACGTGTGACAATATTGCAGATAGATGACGATTCGCTAGTCTAAATGGACATATTTTCACGCAGTACGACGATGTACAATGATCAAGTGTTAAAGGTGAGTGTTAAATGAATCGCTATTGAGGTAGTTGTTCCATCGCCGTTTAAAAAAGGTAACAGTGTGGAAAAACACAGATTCATAGATCTCCAGTACAAGCAAGTTAAAAACACTTAGTTGCTGTAATTACGGGGGATCCGGCCGTAAATCCCCTTACAGCAAATAAGGAATACGTAAGTATCACTGCTTCCAAAATTAATTAGGCTATCCAGCCGACTCTTTACAAAAAAAAAACATGCTAAATGGATATGGAATCGTCCCGTCGCTTCATTGCGCTCTTGCACTCCAGTGAGAAAGAGGCGAAGAAATAGTAAAGTTCGTTTGACTAAGGCAAATTTACATTGAGTCAGTTACTAACTCGAGACGAGCTAGTACTGATCCGATACTGTCACAGTGTAAAATTATTTTAAAGGCAGATTTACATCAGGACAGGTACCGACCTCAAACTCTAGATGGTAAATGTAAATAAATATGGTACTAACTGGCGATAGGGGCTCATCTCGAGTTTTAAGTCAGTACAATGCTTCAGTGCCGATATAAATATTTAGGCGCTGACTTTAAAATGTATAAATATTCTGAAGTCAGCGTTGACCTCAATATTTAAAGGCAGCACTGACTTCAAAATGTACAAACATTAGGAAATAAGCGCTGGGCGCGCTAGTGGGATGTGTAAATGTGAGTTTACGCCGGTGGAGGGTGCGATCAGTGTACATCGTTCGGTGCGGGCGCGGCTAGCGAGCTCATGGCGTGGCAGCGCTACTGCGAGGGGTACTGCGCGGAGGGCAGCGCGGCCGAGTACATGACGGGCGGCGCGGCACCCCACGCCGCGCCCGCGCCGCCCGCGCCGCTCGCGCCGCCCGCGCCGCCGGGCATGCTCATGCGGTAGCCGGCTGCAAAACAAATACACCTATCTTAACACCTCGCGGAACATATTTGAATTTTTTTTACATATAGCATTAGATGTAATGATATGAGGATGAAACTCGGCAAGTGAAATGAACCCCAACCCAGTAATGATAACCAACTTAGTTCCTAAAACTGAATACATCAAGAAATATAATAATTATAAGACAATAATTGTTACAAATTTTTTAGGAAGTTAATAATGTGATTTAGATTTATAAGATTGAAAAAAAAAAAAAAACAAATATTACTTAAATTATGGCAAAACCAATTATTTTGATTTAAAAACTAAACCACTGAATCGATTTTGATAAAATTTCAATGGAACCAATTTGTAAGCACATTCTTTCAGATAAAAAACAATTTTCCAAATCGGTCTAAAATTGAGGTAACAAAAATAAAATAATACAACCAAATTGAGAACCCCCCCCCCCTCTTTTTTTAAATCAGTTGATAACAGAAATTGTGTGATATCTTCAGTGCATAATAAAAAAAAACACTAGCTATATATTCAAACCCATTCAGTGGTTTTGGGACAAACTTTCATATTAAAATTAGTAGGGCAATAATAATCTAATTGTAGTAACCCTTTCAGACCTAAGATTTTTTTTCTTTCAGATTAAATATATTTTCGTGTTTTGGAGCCAAGCCATCTTGCCGGCACGTACGAGACTACTGCACCACCTAACCATTAAAATGATTTCTTATTGGCTGGTTTAGAATCTCACTATCATGTTATTTCAGTTTCGTGCGTAAAAATGAATTGCGCGCGGTTTTAGTATTTTTTAAAGTTACAACTCACGCCCGTATCGTTCAGGTCTGAAAGGGATAAGGAAAAATATAGTTACTATAAGGCTACTGATAACAAAAGTGAGCAAACTTTTTATCTTTACTACTAATGTTAAAAAAAAGAAACAGCAAATAGTCAAGCGTGTGATGACTCACGCACATAATAATCCGAGTCCTGTAAATAAACTTGGATGACATCATTACAAATTCAATATGTCACACATACAAATCCATATAAATGTTATAAATGTACTCGTAAAAATGAGTTTGTTTCTTTCATTATTTGTTACGCTTGGTGTCTTAACCGTTAGCCCAATTTTCTTGAAATTTGGCATATACTTTGGAGATATTAATTGGTATGGAGAAAAAGATTATTGCGAACAAAGTCGCGGGTAAAGACTACTAATTAAATATAATGTGAAAGTAGCTGAGAGTTTCAGATAACGACCTTATCTCTTGTACACGAATATACCTTCTTGACCTACTAACTAACGTATACTGCGACAGATGTTAAGAGATAACGAAGGCATTTCCTAATGAGTAGTAAGTAAGAAGTCTCACAAAACGGAATAATTGATTATTTCAATTATTTATATTTACAAACATACCATAAAATCTTGGTACATATCTTTACACCTATTAATATTATATATATATATATATATATATATATATATATATATATATATATATATATATATATATATAATTTAAGATTAAGACATCACATTAGAAACCTCTAAAAATTATTATTGTTTCTCTACTACATTATGCATGTATTATAGATATAAACCTTTCTCCTGAATCACTCTATCTATTAAAAAAACAGCACCAAAATCCGTTGCGCAGTTTTAAAGATATAAGAATACATAGGGAGAGACAGCGGGAAGTGACTTTGTTTTATACTATGTAATGATGATAAACTTCTTAATGATGTAAAGTTTTTTTTTTTAAATTCATAATTTATGTAAGTTTTTGTTGTTGTCAATAAATGTTTTCTTTCTTTCATTTTTATTTCATGTTTATTAGCAATACTCAATAAAATGTAACCAATCTAAGGTAATATATGTATAATGAAATAAAATGGTAAACATAATGTAATCGATTGACTGACATATTGAATATTATATGTATTGCTATTGTTAAAATGTTAATGAACATAATGCAAGTGAATAAATAATTAAATTAACACTGACATACTGACATAACATAATAAAATAATGCAAATAAAATTAGTATTATGGATTCAACAATTACATGCCTTACGTATGGCGAAACATGTACTTTGTATCTCATGTTTTAAGTGAATAATAAATAAATAAATATAAATGCGATAGTTTGTTACAATGCCAAAGGATGGGTGGATGTTTCTCTGTCATCATTTGTCCTCCATTAAATGGATTTGAATGAAATTCGGTACACGAGTAGGTTATATCCTAATTTAGTAGATAGGATACTTTATATCCATGTAGGTGAAGGCGTGGGAACAGTTATAGAAACGTCTTACAAATTGTGTCGTGTTAAAGATGTATGAGCAGTTTCATTTACACAATTTGTTCATTAAAAGCTTATCGAATTATGTCGATATGAGAATTTGAGAATAATTGTTATTTACGAGGAGAAAGTAGTGATTTAAAAGAATGTAGATTTAAAAGAACGAAAAATACATACAAGAATTATATCATAGAATTGTTCGCTAATCTATACGAGCAGTAAAAATATATTTGGACTGAGTAAAATTTGAATAAGCAAAGAACAAGCATTCGTCTATATGGATTGACTCCACTTTAGGGCTCCATAGACAATCAAATGATTTATTCGTCAAAATATCTTCTGTCATTAGTAAGCCAAGGACTTCCATCTCTGTCTTACAAACGATAAAGTTTATACATAGTTGACCATCTACGGATACCTTTTAAAAACAAAGTTAGGGGTTTTATGGGTAAAAATGGAATGGTGACCCCCGCCTGCACTATAAGCGTAGGTCAGTTGATCCACCATGAGGAAATCGACAAGAATAAAGCAGAAAAAGGATTAAGATTCTTACCAGCGGCGGCAGCTTGCGGGTTGCTGTAGGCTGCGGTGTATTGCTGGTAGTAACCGGGCGCCATATATCCTTGTAACGCAGGATAACCCTGTAATTAATAAGGACACTTTTCAACAAACAGTCATCATGTTTCGACACAAATATATTATGATTATCTTTGGTAATATAGCTCGGGAGAAAAAGGTAAAAAAAAAAAAGCAAATATGTAAATATTCTCATAAATATATTAATATTATGTATAACAACTGATGATTTGCGGGTTAACACGATGCCTCACCTTTAAGTGGCCACGGGATAGATCCCAGCACAATACGGACATTTACATTTATGAATAAGTCTCTTTGTTGGTCTGAGTGTTTTCTGTATAATGTATATTTACAAAAGGAACGTATTTTAACATCATGATCATACCAGCTATTAATTCTCTGTACTATATTTAAGTATATTTATAAATAATATGTTTGATATCCATGGTACTGGCTTTGCTTAGCTGGGGACAGCTGTTAACTATCCACTGTTAAACATAGGTCTACTCCTACGCTTTGACCATCAAAGGGGCTCGTTACAAGAGGGTCATTGCCGCCCTTCCATCGCATGTGTAGTATATTTAATTATATTCATTATTTATTATAACTTATTACACTTAATGGTTTACAATATAGACGAATTTATATGTAAATAAATACATATTACTGGTTTCTATTTCAACAACAATGAACATACATTGGTATATATGAAGTATAAAGGATATATATATATATATATATATATATATATATATATATATATATATATATATATATATATATATATATATCGTAACATATAAATACTCGTGTACAAATTCTTACTACCTATACGTACAGAACAGATATGGCTAGATGAAATAATGACGACGTACCATTGTTATTTAAATTTATAACCACAACGTTCTTATTAGCATAAAATCTCAACACGTAAATAATGCGGGTGATTGGCCGATAGAAATATATCTTACACCCGTTTTTGTTTTTAGAAGCGAATTCTAAACGGAGAAAATTCTTATTTCGAATATTTTTTTTTTGTTACTATGTTAAGAATTCTGACCAATTCTGGCCCTCTAGTCAAATGACAAACTTTGGAATGGGACAGCGCATGTAGCTATCTAATTCCATCTCATAGAGTTAATAGTGATTCCATAGATAGATTCGTTCATCACTTGTTTAGAAGGCTAGAACCAAATTTGATAAATATGATTACCACAGATTAGGTTTACTACTTTATAGATTCCACATTAATTTTTAGAAAGCATTTTACAAGATTACTTTCTTTTTTTTTTTAACATATTGCCAGATCACCAAATAGTTAACCAAATATAAAATATGCACAATTATAATCGACGTGTATCAATATAAAAGATAATTTAAAACGAGTACAAAACAGGAAATTCGGATGAGCACTAGTTATTTTTAGAAATAATTTGATGTACCGCAACAATCGAATGGGTGTACACGTATTGCAGTTTAGTGAAATCTAGGTATGATGTCGAAAATACAATTTTATCAACTATTATATCCGTAAAAAAAAACTTCAATTGTGGCAAAACCATTTATTTTGATTTAAAAACTAAACTATTAAACCAATTGTAATAAAATTTCTATGCGTCGAGTTTGTAAGTATAGCCTTTTAGATACAAACGAATAATACTAAATAGGTTTATACCTGACGGAGTTATGAGGTTACAAACATAAAAAAAAATGGGGGAAAAGGGACTGTGAGTAATGGAGACTGATAATCCCATTGCTAGCAATACACCCAACCAGGTCGACCTCCACGCGGTTCCCCCTGGAAACTATCATGGTTAATTCCTGATGAATTCATCATGATGGGCTAACTGGCCTGTTTTCATTCTCATCTATCACCCTTCACTGGTGCTCCGCCAGCGTGTTCCGTTAGCGTAGGCGGGGTTACCATTCCATTTAAACCCATAAAAAAAAAACATAAAAAAAATACAATCGAACTAAGAACCGCCTTCATTTTGAATTAAAAAAAAATTTTACGACCGATAAGAATAGAAAAAAAAATGCCTTAAAATTCTGCATAGAGATTGCTTACGTCCTATAACTTCTATATCCTCCTATAGTTTCTATATTATAGTAGAATCCTATAGTTGTTATAAAAAAAAAAAAAACATATTATAATTAAAAACTTCTTCCAGTCTTATATTTTTAAATCCATATACTAGACGCATACATACAAACTATCAGAGATAGCAAGAATAATTAAATCGAATAAAAACTATACAAAAATGTCACCAATGTGTACGCGGACGCCGATTTCTTTTCAAGTAGCATTCGTTTACATAACATTAAAAGTACACTTCTACAACACGTTATCGGCTAAAGTATTCGAAGCTAAGTTTATCACGCGACTATATTTGATCAAATATTGTTTTTATGTTCCTTAGATTTGGCTGTACAAATAAAAGTTAATGTTTTTTTGTTGGTAACCGCATGCAATTATAAATGTCTCGATGATTTGACTTTTTCAAATGTTCGTAATATTGTGATTTTGGTTTTTAAATAAAAAAAAAAAATCTTGCATTAGAATTAACAAAGCTATCTGAATATAATATTCAGGTCTAACTTCTTCTCAAGTAAGTAGAGAAAGCCGCATACCTATAATCGCCGCTTTCATGTTAATATAAACTTTATTACGTATTTTTTTTTAATACATTCGAAAGGAATAAATCTTTTAATACCATTAGCAACATCTGCAGTGTATAAGTATTTATCTATTGAATCTAGAGACAGAATATAGACATTATAATGCTTCATATGAAGACCCCAATATAAGGCTTGTGTAATTTAAAACAAAGCCCATGATTGCATGTGTAAAATGTTTATATAACTATGCTGCGAATGCGAAGAGATAACAGAATGGTCGCACATCTGGTTGTTAAATTAAATTATTGAAGATTGATATTATACTTATATAGGGATTAAGCTAACATGACATTAGAATTGCAAAATTTAGAATATCAACTTATAGGTCAGAAACGTTTTGGAATCCAAAAATAAAGATTTTTGGTTATTCAAACTCTTTATTATTACAACTTTTTTTTTATTTTCAGTCAGTACCTACCAGTGAACAATTCATAAACTATAAAAAAAATATAAATAAACGAGGGTCAATGACCTACACGGGGCCTTTTATAAGCAATATTTTTAAGCAAACCGCATGACTGTTTATGAGTAAAACACTGTATAATGAAAATATTTTTTTCCTTCGTGTACGTGCTTAGAATAATACACAATCATAATAATTCACAATATTAAAATTACTTCATATTAAATACAAACCGTGTGCTTATATTAAATATGCAACATAGAATGGGCCATCCGTTTCTTTTCCGTGGGTATCGTACGTAAGAGGCAACTAAGTGGACGTAATGGTAGAGGGACGGCTAGCAGCGTCTCTTTTAAAACACCACAAGCCTAACTGCGTTTGTCGATCCGCCTGCCAAGCGCGGGAATTACTGGTAACATATCCCTAATGGAGACCTATGTTCAGCAGCGGACAGTTAATAGCTGATGATCAGCTTTTTACCTGCTACATAGTAAGCGTAATAGGAAAATCAATAATTTTGACCTTTTCTCGATGGAGCATCAGATAAAACGTCTAGAAGAACTATTTAAGTTAGACCTTTACCTAAAAAAAAAGTAAAATCACCAATCTTGTTATGTTTTTTAATCGGTTTCAAAATCGTGATTCTCAATTCGGTTGAATTTTTTTTATATTTGTTACCTCATAACTCTGTCTGTTCTAAACAAAATTGATATTTTTTTTTATCTGAAAGAATTATGGATACTTACAAACTCGTCTCATAGATTTTTTTTTTTTAAATGTGTTCAGTAAATTAGTTTCTAGATGAAAATAACTGGTTTTGGCACAATTGATGTCGGTTTTTTTTATGGGACACAGTTTTGATCGGTATTCTACGATACGATAAAGATTACTCGCATGTTAATTCAATGCAAACATAAAATTATGTCGCTGTTTTCATTTTGTGTAACATACTATTAAATTACAAATTTTGATGCAATCGAATTAAAATCAAATCGAAATAACATCGCAAAGTTTTGCCCAACGGAGACTTTGTACAAAAGTCCATTGCTTGGGTACCTCTGTCTCATTCGTGTTTTAACCGTGAAGCAGTTGTGTTTGCATGGCTGTGTTTCGGTTTGAAGGGTGGGATAAGGCGTGAATTTACTGGGTACAGAGGAATAACACCTGAGTCCTCAGGAATGGCAACGCATGGAGGCTATCATGGGCGAAACAGTATACTCTGTTATGTCCATGGTACTGCTCATGTCTATAGGCGACGGTTACCACTTTCCATCAGGTGAGCCGTCAATGCAATTTTCGATTTACCATTATTCGACAGTCTGCCATTTTATGAATACAATCATTTTAATACCATTTCATATTGATTTCAAATTGTTTATCAATTTAGATTTTTTATATGCAAAGATTTATTTGTCAGCCGTTTATAGTCAAATATGGGTAAAAAAAAGCGAAACAATTTGTCATAACAGTATTGATAAGACGTTATTGCCGTACAAAATTGTATAATTGCAATGTTTTAATTTAGTTACGTCCAGATATTGTAGATTTTTAATTTTTTCTTTATTTCATCATACATTTATAAGGAAAACTCGTTGTCCTGTTCCTGTTAGAATAAAAAAAAAACCGTCGGACTTACATTACATTTGAAGAGTTATGAGGTACCTTCTTCTTTTTTAAGTCGGTTGAAAAGTATCTTTTAATTGCCCTAGGATGCTATTCACGGAAGAAGACGCATAGAAATGTAACAAAAAAAATATATCCAATTGAAATTTCAAAATTTTAACGGTAGTACTGTAATATGTATATTGAAAAAGTAAATAAGTATTTTTGTCAGTTGTTGCATACATTTACTAAATTGGGTGATGCTGTCTAATATGTACCAGGATTGAAGGGACAGGTTGGCCAAAATGAAAACAACCGATATACCACAGGATATAATTAACGAGTTTTAGTTTTGACGCTGCGCAATGTATTTAAAATTTTGCGATTCACACGACGCGTTACAGGTATTGCGCGGTCAATAGTGCTACTTCGTAGGTAGTTTTCGTACGCTTGTGGCGTTGGCTTTATACAGCTGATTCCACCAGTCGTCGTAGAATTTTAGTGCGTATATTACATTGGTATTTCATAGTACTTCACTATAAAATATTATTATATCCTTACATTATAACATGTTGTAAGATCATGATTTTAAATAAAAAAGAGGAAAATAATTTGTAATTTTCCGAAAAGAATTTCCACTGGTTTTCAGTACAGAATATTGGTCTAAATTCACCGTTTCAGTTTTTGCCAACCTGTCCCTTATAGCCTGTATATATAAGTAGTGGTAAGATCTATAAATATAAATATAATTATTTACCTGAGCATACCAATATCCCATTCCTTGTTGATATGGATAGGGGTACTGCGTTTGTGCACCCATCGTCGCTGGCGCCGCTGGCGCATTATTCGTACTCTGTAATTCAATACAAACACACATTATACGTATCTGTAACATGTACTGTATAGAAGAAAAAATGCTCTATAATTATTTCTAAATTGTATTTTGGCTGTTTTCCAAATATGTACTCTATTTTCAACTCAATATAGGCGATTGTTATGTGTAAAAGTAATTTGTAGTGTTCTACATCTTTATAAAAAAAAAAGTAATTATTCTTTTGTTATCAATAAATTGCATCTTTAAAACCACTTAGATACAGATAATGTTAGGTATATTTTTTTAATTTATCAATAATTATTATCATTAATATAATAGATTTATTTTTTACTTTTCAGATGCAGAATATAGAACAATTGTCTTTCGCCCACAGTTTATTTCAGTTGCATATTACAGAATAAACATAATAAAATACTTGTCAATTTCTGTTACTGACAGAATATGACAGTCATGCACATTAAATATTATAATAATAATCAAATAATTTGGGCATTTCTGTTTTAAGCATAACATTTAAAAATCAAATAGAAAAATCTTAGATAATTAATTAAATCAAAAACCTTTTTCTTTTGTCTATATGTTGATTTTATACAAAAGTGTATACCAGCAAATGTACCTATCATGATTGTGTATTAAAAATATGACAAAAATAAAAAAAATATGCAAATAGTTTTGTGTGATATTTGTGAAAGTATTAACCTAAAAATTCGCAATGCCAAATGAATTAAGTCTTTTCCAAACTGTAGTTCAGCATGCTTAAATCGACCTTGCATCTATTAGAGAAATTCAAAATTGGTTTTCTTATGTAAAACACAGATTAATTTTATAATTATAATATTTGTGAATAATATTTTAAATTAATCATAAAATATAATTTCAATATTAAACAACTATATATTTTTTTAAATATAATGAAATAAAATTTGTAAATATACAATAGTAAAGCATAAAAAAGGACTGTGTATGTTTTCTATAATTTATATTACAGAAAACAAGAGTTTGACAATAAAAAATAGTATAACACTTTATTGTCTACTGAAACAATGTATAAATTTGTGATTGATTTATTAATAAAAACTTACTCAATTCAAATTAATATATCATAACTGGATACAAGTCCCTCCACACTAGAAAATTTCACATAATACTGTCAAGATAATCATTCTATATTCAATATTATGTGTGATAATCATTCTATATTCCCATATTAATTTAAATAACATTAAAGCCTATCCAAAGTGCTGTCGCTGAAAGTCAATACTGTAGCTTCTCGGCTGTAGGATAATGGTGTGCAGGGATCATTTTAGCAAACAATATCTTTACGTACCTACCTTAAGTTCAACAATATTTGTTAATAAACTATTATTATTAAGTTCCATTAAAAATCTCTACAATTATTATAGATTATAAAGCAAGATTGTTGTTACTGCACGGTGCCTTAAAGCTCATACAGTCATCATGGAATTTGGCATTTATGTAGTATAGAGAAAGACACTGGCTACTTTTTATGCATTTAACAGAGGCCAAATTACACAAACAACTATTATGTATAGCTGAACAGGAGGAATGTCTATATCGTAATCCCTTAAGTATCTTACCACTGATGTTGATGATGATGAAAGGCATCATTTAAAATAGTTTCAGAATCTAAATTACATTAAATTCATTTCTTATCATTGAGACATTGCGAGAAGAGCAATTTTGTTGATCCTTTCAATAGAGGGGGAAAGGGATTATTAGTAATGGAGACTAGTGATCTTAATATTAGCATTATAGCTTGTCAGGTCGACCTCCATATGGTGCCCCCTGGAAACTATTGTGGTTCAATATGTATTCATCACAATGGGCCAACTGACCTGCTTTTGATCCATAGCATAGGCGGGGTTATACTATTTGATATCATGCATTAAAAAATCCTTCTAATGTTATAAATGTGAAAGTTGTTACTACAATATTAGCATAGAATTAATTTGATGTTACCTCAAAACCTATAAACAATGTTTATAATAATAAAGAGAACTTAAATATTTTTATCATATGGACAAATATGCCTTCATTTTCTGTTTTATTAATGAGGTTGCTCTAAAAGAGCACCAATACATCATGTACCATAATTTGTAGTATTCTATATTATTTGAATAAATAATTTATTCTATATAATATAACCTCATTTTATGACTATAAATATACAAACCTGATTATCACCACCTCCATTCTCTTTCCCCCAGAAACATTTAACTGTATGTCCACTAATTTCTGTATTATGTGTTGCTTCAATGGCATGTGCTGCCGCTTCTTTTGTTGTGAACCTAATGAAAGCATAGCCTTTGTCCCTGAATACTCTTATATCCTGTATCTGGCCAAACTGTGAGAAAGTGGTTTGCATTAGTTCCTCAGTAATAACATTGCTTGTGAAACCTCCACAGTATACAGTTGTGTTGGTCGGTGAACTCTGGTTATAAACCTCATCAAATGTAGGTTGTTTGGCTCTCTTGCTACTCGGTGCACCCTCGTTTGGCCTATTTGGTGGGGGCTTACGAGTCGACCAGTTCGTGCGTATGGAGCGCGAACCCAGCCACTGACCGTTCATTGCTTGGATCGCCGCTTCAGCATCTGCCTTCTTCACGAACGATACAAAAGCGTATCCTTTGGATTTCAGCGTTTGTGGGTCACGGACTATCCGGCAGTTTGATATCTCGCCGAAAGGCGCAAATGCCTCTCGTAATATGTGCGTTTCGATTTCTGGTGATAGATCACCAACAAATATATGATGATGATTGCTAGTATCCGTCTTGGGTTGATTACCGGGACTCGTAGCCCAGTTAACCTTCATTTCTTTCTCAAGAAACACTCGTTTATTCATGGCGGCCAGGGCCGTAGCAGCCGCCGAGTGACTTGTAAATTCAAGAAATGCATATGGATCGTTGCCCGGTTCACGAATTATCTTACAACCTTTTACCTCGCCTATTTGTCCGAACAACGCGCATAGAAATTCTTCTGTCACACTCGCGTCTAAATTACCGACGTAGAGAGTTTTCGGATGGCTTTCGTCGCCCATATTAGCTTATATCGTAATCTAGCGATTACTTAATTACGACTATGAACACTAATATCGAAAATAAACGCTAACCGACGTTATTTCATCACTTAAAACATTGGATGACGGATAAAAAGAAGGAAAATGTATCAAACAGCGTTAGAAATTCTCGAAAGACGTTGCTGTTGACTCGTGAAACGTTCACTTTTCGGAAACAAACGCATCTATAGACAAGTTTCCGGTGGAATCAGTTTGAAAAGGTGGCGGGAAAAACATAATTTACGAAAAGAATGTAGTTTTCACGTTATAAATTTTTTACAAATATAAAATATATTAATTATTCATACATATAACGAAATATAAATATTATATCACTAAGAAAATGGAAATTTTAATTTATTGAGTACGACCACAGAAACAATATAAACCAAATATTCATAGACTTGAAGCGTAAAGATAAACTTTTCCGGAAATGAGTGTCATTTAGCAGTCTATGACTCACCACGAAAGTGCTGTTTCACTTATCCGATTACACATTAAATTTTTACACTGATTGGCTGATATTGAGACATCTATAAAACAAACCAATCCTGTGAAGTTTCGTTGTTACCACAGATCAAATATATGAAATTAAATTGCAAGATTACCAGTAGCAAAATGTAGTACATACTTTTGAAATTAATGAATTTAATTCAGATGTTATTACAAATATTTTAATATACGTAAAAGAGAGAAATTAATTTATTTCATCATTAAAAAATTGTATTGATAACATTTATTTATATTATTGTAATATTGTTTTCCTTAAAATACTGTAAACTGCTTAATAAAAAATGAAACTATTTTGTGTTATACTACAAAGCTATGGGCGACGACATGTACTATATTTTTTTACATTTTTTTTTATATTTTATGTACATTTTTGTCATATAATTGAAATTAATTATATGTCAATAAGTCATATAATTAAATCAATTAATTATGTATGGGGTCCATTAATGCATCTTAGTTTTTGAATTTGACAGAAAAATGACAACCTAGTGATACTGAAATTGCAAAATGTTGTCAACTAGCGAGACTTTTATTTTACTTGTACAACGTTAAAACTTTATTAGTAAAATAATGATTATGCATGACTTAAATATATTAAGCAACTACTAAATTAAAAGGCTTATTTATTTAAGTTCTTTCAGTACATTTTTGTAATAGATTTTATTCATGAGGTTATAGACCGCTTGTTCACTTCGTACACGTATGCAGTGATTCTTGTGTTTAGTTTTATGGTTTCTGATTGAATTATTTTTGAAATGACGTGATATAGACCGTCTGTAGTTAAAAATCATACAATGCTGCCCCTCATTGAAAAAGATACCCGGGTCCCGCGCGGTACTTTGGGTGGTTACAGAGAAAAATTTCCCAGTTGGCTCAGACTAATTTACTCTGATAAGAATTCAAGAAACTTGTTTCTATTTTTATTACTTAATTTATCATTTGCTTTTGTTGAACTTTTCTATGGCATATGGACAAACAGTTTGGGTAAGTAAAATATATTTGTTTTAAAATTTAAATCGCCTATTTTTAGCAAACTTTATTCACTACCATTTCCAGTTTGTGTTGGAAAAGTATGGTATTAAATATATAACATGTCTTATAATGTTTGATTTTTGGTGTATAATTTAATAATAAATATTTAATGTTCATATATTTTAATGATAAACCACAAAATAAAATGAATCTATAAGTCTACCATATAAATTCAGTAGTTGTTTATTTATTCTAGATTCTTATTATTCTTTTTATAGAACTCACATCAAATTTTATCTTTTTAAATATTACCTAAATAATTCTAGGTATAATAAAAATCAGAACAGTAAATTAACTGATATTATATTTTGCAGGTCTCATCTCAGATTCATTCCATATGTTCTTCGATTGCACGGGACTGGTGGCTGGTCTGGCTGCCTCCTTGATATCGAAGTGGAGAGCCAACAGTCGCTACTCATATGGTTATGCCAGGGCTGAAGTGTTGGCAGGCTTTGTAAATGGATTGTTTCTGTTATTTATTGCATTTTTCATTATGAGTGAAGCGGTGGAACGAGCTATTGAGCCACCAGAGGTAAATCATTATTCTATTTATTCAATTATTATTATTATTAAGTAAAATATTTAAAAGAATATCTATTTTAGTAATCTATCAATTAAAGATGCTTTTAATGAAAATGATCTGTATTACAAAAGGAAAAATTAACTTGTAAGAATTTGTCTGTGTACTATAATGATACAAATCTGAATTATTCTTATATCAGCTAAAACTTATGATATTTTTTTTAACATTGTTCAATTCTGCTAATAAAAGATATGTGAAAGTTTGTCACTGTGGATGGATTACTCTAACTCGCAAAAACTACTAAATGGATTTGAAAATAAAGTTTGATAATCAGGTTTATTATTTATTTAAATAACTTTATTGACCAAAAGAAAATATGATAGGAAAGACAGACTTAGTGCTATATCCTAACTTAGTACACATTTATCCTATCTTTATGAGCAGATTTATTCAGGTGAAGCCACAGAATGCAGCTAGTAAAAGTTTTAACTAATATAAAATACAAACAGTAATTCACAGTTATCTTTTTATTGCATTATGCGGAAACTGTATTATTATTTATAAAAATTTACAAACTTATTTTTCTCTTAAGGGTGTTTTCTTTAATCAAATTTTTGTTGAGGCATTAGTACTTCGGAGTGACTATGCGAGCCTCATAGGGATTGTCTGAAAGTCAGTCTGTCAGTCCATCAAGGACACCTTTACCCGCAGATATTGCCGTCTTGCATTGTGACTGCCAGGTTGACCCAGTATAAAATTGACATTACCTTTATATAATGGCATATCACCCAGAATCCGCGGTTTCAGGTTACAATTCTGGCCGCATTCCACCAGCAAATGTAGAAGGTCTTCCACTTTGTCACAATACATACAATTTGGTGATTGTTTCATTCTTATAAGATGATAAAATTTGTTGAGTGGAAGATGACCAGATTGCATCCTGAACACTATCAAGGGTGTTCTATATATACCCATTATACTAGCTAGTTGATCATACTATGATTTGTATAAATGTTATATCTATTACAAAATTAAAATACTTTCTCACTCACTCACTTATCTATATATGCAAAACATTCCATCTTGGTTATCCCTTTATAGACTCTCATGATACAGTTTCGTCTAGTGCAGGGTTCAATGTAGCCACGTTCCTTCCTTGTGTTTAATAAATAAATTCAATCCATGCAAACAAATAGACATAAATAAAAATTATATTAGGTATATTTATCTGGCTCTTATCAAAAACATGTATTACTTATTACATTATTATGTATTTCATTTCCAGCACTAATCTTAACTTATCTCTAACTTAGATAAGCTAGCCAGCACTCAGCGGTTTTATATCAATTTTACATTTTTATGCGTCTAGCTTAGATGCATGAAAATTTATAATTTATAAATATATTTCATGGATTATTTTAAAATATGAAATACTAACCCATGCTTGCGTTATTTGTATATGTTGACAGGATACCAGTAAGGTATTAAGACAGATCAAACAGTCCATCCTTACAGATTTTTCATTATTAGTTTATCACTGTAGTTTCTGATGGGTTAAAACAATCAGAATTTAATTTGTTTAACTTATTTATTTATTTATTGGAAAACCAACAGCTTACAATTTATAGCTTAAAACAATAACAACTTATCCATATAAAAAGCCAATAACAGGTTTTCACTGACTTAGCGATATAAATTTGTCGTGGCTGGAGTAATTATAAAATTTAGAAGGAAATAAACTTATTATTATTAACTTTTTAATATAAATATACTACACCGTTAATAATCCCTCCTTTACGTGGGAGGTCAATTAAACTCAGTGGGTTATCCAAATACAATCCTATTGTAAATCATGTAAGGTAGACACTTTGTAACCTCCCAGGTGTGCCTAAGTAGAGATCCATTTGATATATTTTGATTTTTAGGCTTCCGTACCTCTAAAGGAAAAACGAAACCCTTATAGGATCACTTCGTCGTCCGTCCGTTGGTTCGTCTGTCTGTTAAGACCTTTTTCCTTAAGATTGTGTGAAAGTATCAAGTTGAAATTAATGTCACGTACTCATGTTTGCAATCTCTCAAAGCAGTAAAAATGAAGTTTCTAAATCGACGCAATCAAAAGATACGGCCGTTCATTCAATTTATATCGCATATTTTGACATTCGCAAAGGGAATCAAAATTTAGAATTATGAAATTTGGCAAGAAGCAATGTCATGTAGCATAAATGAAGGAAAAAAATCCGAAAACTGTAAATTTGTAGTTATTTCACACAAAAAAAAATTAAACTTCATAATTCTGTACGGAACACTCGTTGCGCGAGTCCGACTCGCATTTGACCGGCTTTTTAGTTATGGGGCCGCTAAACACCATGACCAGGGAATGTTATTAGCGTACTATTATCGTTGCCAGTAAGCTCGGTGTAGGGTTTTATTTTGAGGTGTTTTTTTTTTTTTAATGAGTGATAATGGAATGGTTACCCACCTGCGCTATCGGTATACGCTGGCGGAGCACCAGTGAGGGATGATAGGTGATGAGGAAAGCAGGTCTTTTAGCCCCTCGTAAGCAATTCTGCTAGAATTAACCACGATGGTTTCTAGGGGGAATTGTGTGGAGGTTGACCTGATATGGGTGTATTGCTGGCAATGGGCCAGTTAGACACCATTACTAACAATCCCTTTCCCCCATTTTGAGGTATTCCATCAAGAGGACCATTAGTTCGTTTTGCATTTTAAATTGTATTAAAATGGGTACTACAAAAAAAAAACGATTTCAATTCTGGCTAAAACAGTTGTTGCGGCTTCTTTGATCGGTTTTCTCGCTAGCCGCTAAGACATTCTACAATTAAAACTGACAGCTTGGGACAAAACAAAAGGACTTAGACAAAGACCGAAAGGTAGACGGACATAATTTTGAGACACAAATTTTCCTTTTAATTTTTAATACATTTGACGACAAATTCGGACCTTTCGACTTTACAAACGGTCTATCGACCTTTCAATTCTTTTGATTTAAAAACTTAACAACTTAACCGATTTTAATAAAATTTCTCTGGAATCAATCTACAGTAGTACGTTACACAAATACAATAGTACGTATATCCTTTCAGATAAAAAAAAACGGATTTTCTACATCGATTTATTATTGACGGAGTTAATTAGGTAATAAACAAGAAAAGAATCGATCGACAACCTCCGTTTAAAAGTCGGTTGAAGTATCTTTAATTTATGGAAATTTTGTTGCTTACTGAATTTTTCGCATATAATCATGTGGCTTAATTAGACACATTTAATTGTAATGGTTAATGATTAAATTGACTCCACTGCAATTGATTTTCAAAGAAAAACCAATCTTATAAGCTATATGTAATAGTTGAAAATTGATAGCTGGGCGATTTACCCATATGCAATAAAATGATAAGCCAACTTGTTCATGGCTTGAACGTATATTGTAATAAATCAAGAGGATGCCCCATTAATTACAAGTTACCTACATGTAGTATAGGAGTACTTAAATTTTTTTATATAAAACTAAGGATCTACTTATGCTTATAGAACATATTAGGACAAACATTTTGTGATTTAAAGATTTAAACACTATAACTAATTTTGACATTTCCTTGCTGGCTATTGAGTTAAAAAGCTTTAGCCTTCCATATTGACGGCGTGTTCAGCTATTGTGTGGCTCATCATTTTTTTTGTTGTTTTTCGACCTATGTCGTCGAGTTGTCGTCGTTCGAGTGATTGGACACCCACCTTAGGATTTGAGTGTAAGGGATTGATACCCTTTAATTTAGTCTACTTTCACGCAGTTCCTCCTGGAAACTAACGTGCTTAATTATTGCGAAATTCGTCGCGATGGGGTAACTGACATGCCTTCATCCTCATCTATCACTTCTCTTTGGTGTCCAGTCAGCATATACCGATAGTCCAGACGGGGTACCATTCCATTCTCACCTATTAAAAAAAGTACATTATGTAATTTTTTTTATAAAGGCAAGAATATAAATTAATTTTATTTACGGCAATACGTAGAACACATCAACGTTGAAGGTTGCTAAAGATTTCTATTTCAACAGCAACTTACAACAACAATAATCCTTAATTATTTCAAATCATATTTCTCCCTTTCTATTCTTCGCCATGTGGCTTCGACATTAAATAGGCCACTCTTTTTTCGTGGGTATCGTAAAGGAACTCAATAGTCGAGGAATGAACAGCAGCGTCCCTCTTAAAACATCAAAACGTAACTGCGATTGCCAATCTGCCTGCAAACGTGGCAACTACTAGCAAAACCCTCCAATAGGGGGAGGTTTAAGTTCAACAATGAACAGTTGATGGTTGATGTGGTGGTATAGGAAGAACTCTTCCACAGATGATTTCATTTATCGTCTCCCACTGATACCTCACCAGTGTAAACCAATAGCTCAAGCGGAATGAACAATTTATTTTTATTATTAGAAACGAAAATATTAATAAGAATAAAAAAAAAACCTAAAGTACACGTAGTTGCAGTAAGTTACAAATAAGTTTCAACACCGCTGTTGAAATGTCAGTTCTCGCCAATCGGTTACGTATTATATTTTTCTCAACTCGTTTACCTGATGCCATTGTACTGTTCGTTGTTATTGTATATTCAATATAAACGTGCAAAATAGAAAGCTCTGTTCCATTTTCGATTACTTTATGGGCACATTTAGCCCTTTATTTATAAAAACTACAATCTACAAATCTATTTTAACTATTACACTGTTTTTTTTTTTTTAACTTTTATTCAAACTCAGAATTTGGCAAACATATAAAAAGACAAAACGGTTCAAATACCGTTAAAAATATAGCCAAAATAGGTTCATGAGAGGTTTGACATTTTATGAATAACTTTGTTAATAGTTAAAAGGCTGTAGGTAGGATAAATGTAACTTTTTAATGACCTTACGTACTGTATTTGATCTGTGGTATTTGTTTAATTTCATCAAAAAGGATTCAGTAGATCGTCTTGAAAAAGTAATCAGAAACTATTACAAAGATGACCATCGCTCCTTAGAATTTTGACAAATTTAGTTGCAAAATATTTATTAACGATCCAAAATTTGGCATTAGTGTTATAACATTGAACAATTTCCTCAACAAACACGAAAAATATGAAAACGATTTGTTTCTTTCTTGTATAGTCTTTTACGTGACTTCACAGTTTTTACAAATATTCAAAAAATATTTTTTTAATATGTCGAAAATGTTTCTGAAATAGTAACTGTATTTAAAAAAAAATATGTGTAATTTTCAGGTAAAGCACGAGCGTCTACTCGTCGTATCGATATTAGGGTTCCTTGTCAACATGGTTGGCATATACGCCTTCCACCACGGGCATGGGCACGGCCACGGCGGTCACGGACACTCCCACGGCGGACATGGCCACTCTCATAATCATAATCACGGGCACTCTCACGACGAGCCTGAGGCCCCAACGGGATCTGGCTCCGCCATTATGCGTGGGGTGTTCCTCCACGTGCTAGCAGACACCCTGGGCTCGGTCGGGGTCATCGTGTCCGCTATACTCATGCGTATGTTCGGATGGATGCGGGCAGACCCTATATGCTCCATGGCGATCGCACTCCTCATAGCTGCAAGTGTAATACCTTTAGTTCGTGATTCAGCAGGTGTGCTCATGCAACGGACTCCAATAACAATTGAGCGTGCACTACCCAACCTATTTACGCGTGTAGTAGGCTTGGCAGGTGTTCACGCGGTCCAAGAACCCCACTTCTGGACTTTGTGCAGTGATGTTCACGTAGGGGCCATCAAATTGGAAGTGGCGAGAGAAGTGGACCCTAGATATGTGACGGAACAAGCCACAAGGATTTTCCGTGAGGCGGGCGTGAAGTATTTGACCGTCCAACTAGATTATTTCCCGCTCTGATCTTGAGCTTAATAATAAATAGTGAATGTACAGTTTTCCATGACGTGGAAATTAATGTATATAATGTAATTTTATTCTCCACAATGTTTTTTTTTTTTTTTAAATGTGATGCAGGTATTTATTTTAACCATTCATTTTTATTTTCAACGATAATGCAGTTAGGATGGTAATAAAGAATGTGTGGTATAACAGAGACATCGCTCGTGTTTGTGACAGAGATCTTGAGTCACAATACCTAGTAATTTCATTGGCAATTAATAAACTCACGAATAAGGGCTTCTGTTGAGCTCATAATTGACTATTTTCGTGCCCGACTGAGAATCCCCTTTAAAACGCGAGTATAGCCAACATAACAATACAGTACGACTTACAATAGTTATTTCTCAACAATACAAGCAAGATATTTGGTGGTAGTAGAAATATGTGAGATAGAAAATTTTTCAGGTCACCCACTGGCAAAAGGTCCCATTAATTTTCATCGTGTATTTATCAAACTGATATAGCTACAAAAATGTCTATTGAAGCAAATGTTATATGACTCATAGCCAGTTTGTTGGTTGTTACTGTTACAAAGTAACCGTGTTAAAATAAGGAAAAATAATATAGTATAGCAAATTATTATTATTATATTGTCATATTTTTATTATTTATAATATTTTGTTATGAATTTATGTAAAGATTATTTTTTATTTTATAAATATTTTACTTACATCCTCAATATATTGTACATAAGGCAATTTAAAATTCTTATATGTAATGTGTAATTTAAAACTATAACAAACTATTGCATTTCTCTACCTTTTATTATAAATTTATAATATTACATTCCACATTATTGTTAAGCAAAAATTATACTTTTTATAATGGAAGAAAAAACAACATAACTCAAGGGGAATTCATGTTTAAATTAAAATTGTGAATAGGGCAATAGCAAGTTTACAGTAATGGGTATCAAACACGAAAAAAAAAGGGAAGCATTCACCTGAGTATCTAGCTAGGTCGATTTAAAGACTATAGTTCTATAGCATTTTATAGCGAGCATTTACAAATCTGTCAAAGTAACAATTACAAGAGATTACGTTATATACAATCTATATTCGTAGCATTTTAGAGATTAAATTAACATAGAAATTAATTCAAATCCACTCATACATCTCATAGAACAAACATTATTTACCATATTCCAAAAACTTTTTTTTTTTTTTTGTATTGGAAAAGTATGAACATTACTATGGACTATTATAAAAAGAACATCATGGAGATGTTTGTATACAGAAGATACTCATGGAAACCCTGAGGCCACAACACTGATTATTTATAATTTTTATGAATATGTAGCCAGAAACTCACAAGATTCTTTTACTTAAACTTGTTTAGAAATACTTAGCTAATACTACTTCAAAATTGTGTATAGACTCTTGTATTTTGTACGTTATCATATATAATAAAGTGATATACATAAAACACTTATATGTGAGCCGAATAGGGACTTACGCCATTTTTAATTGAGAACGAGGTTGATTTTTTCTATTTAATATACTTAAATTTTATTTGGATATACCAAATTTACTAAAATTGTTTTTCTTTCATAGATAATATGTTACCCGATATTTTAGTAGTTCAGAGCCGATTTTGATAATTGTTTTTTTAATTGAAACGATTTACAAAAACGGTTCACACCCAAGTTGGTCCTATCATCACATCAGCCGTTCACAGCTGAACATAGGCCTACTCCATTGAAAAAAGGGTTTTGCCTGTAGTTGCCACGCTTGGCTGGCGGTTTGGCAATTGCAGTTACGCTTTGGTGATGTTTTAAGAGAGTTGCTGATGCCCATCCTTCGACCATTAGTCATCTCTTATGTCATACACAGGAAAGGAAGGGGGTGGCCCATTCTATATAATAATGGTAATAAATTCAGCCTTGTGAAGTCAATAAATTGGTAACATTATGTGAATTTGATTTTTATGGAAACATCAGTTTCAATAATAAAACAATTTGCAAATACACCAACATTGACTAGGATTTTTATTTTAAATCTAAATAAAAGTTTGATATCTGCTATATTTTTCTGTTTATTACTCTATATTAATTATTAGATTTTATTGCAAATTAATAACAAAAATATTCAGTATCATGTTTAATTATATAGGTTATATATCAATATATTTATTATCTCCCAATAAGTATTATAAAAAGTAAAATACTGAATATAATATTTTACTATACTCGCCCTTCTATACAAAACATTGTTTTAGAGATTTATGAATTATTTTCAATGATAAATAATTACATAATAATACATTTTAGTAACGGATTTTTAGGGCGACTCTCACTGGCAAATAGGTTTTATTAGCCAAAATATTTAAATTTAATTTTAATATATTAAAAAAAATTACATGCGTAGTCTTAAATATTCATTGTGTAATAAAAAGAGAATTGGTGCAATTTGTATGAGATATACGAAAATTAGGTCACACATAGTTTAGGCAGGATTAGTCATAATTTAAAGATATACTTTTGTGTATAAATTGTGGGATTAAGTCCGGAATTAGTGCCAGAAATAAATATTGTACAATTTGAATCGAGCTGGTTGAAAAATTATTTTGTTTTCACGATAAAGCATAGCTATGTAAACATATGCATATAGTTTGTCAATGATGTATCTATATGTTAAAGCTTAAAGCATTTATGTTATTGTACATTATTATCTCAAATGATCGTTTTTAAGGGCCCCATCCAGTTATTTTCCAGGCAAATTATTATTTGCGGTTTGCCTGGCTGGTGTCCTCTACATCGATTTCTGTCAGTTAATCTCGATTCTAATACTTCCCAGTCCACTTGGTAGAAAGCTCGCGTTGATGGTGTAATATTAAGTAACCCTATGTACAAGTGAACGGGGAATCTACCATGAAATGGAAATCCGAATGTTCGAACTTGACGGTGTTTTCATTCATATCAACCTAGCAAATGGAGCTTCATATTTAGTTTGTCATAAATTCTACCATAAAAGTTCAAAGGAACGATATTTTAAACATTTTTAATATCTTTAAACGGTACGTATTAAGTAACTTTAACGTTAAATTTGTTTCGTTCGGTCCCGAAATTTCGAGAAAAGTTTCATGGTAAGCCCTCAAGCTACACTTATGGATATGTTATCTGCACTAATAGATGCATCGCGGGTGACGACGCAAAGCGTGGACGTACTTAGTTAAGTCAACAAGTAAAAACATTTTTAATTGTTACCAATTTGTTTTATGGCATAGTCGTTAAAATTGGATATAATATATAGTTTACATATTATGTAAACTATTCAAAATTAAATTTCTAAGCTCTAAAATGTGATACCCACTTATGAATTGACTTAGATCACTATTATATTTTTATTTATGACCACAACACAAATTGTGGCACTACAGAACATTAATTTGTACGAATTGAAAGATTAAAACTAAGTTGCCAAAATATAAAATTTTATTTATCACCGCACCTATCCCAAATCCATGCGAAGCCATCGAAATCGGTCAATCAAATAAAATTGTTGGAAGAAACGTTGTGATTTATTGTATAATAAAACAAATAAAATATTCAAAGTAATTTTTTACATAAACATTTATGAACTGAGTAATTTACAACAAAATTATTAAATAAGAATTCATTTAAGTATTGAAAAAATTTATTATATTAAAATATATAACACAAGATCTATTGACGCGGATAGAGTAGCATGCTTGTGATGAATGTGATTTGTTCTATCTTGGAACTCCTAGATACTATCCTTGTTGACAGAAACTTGTAAAGATTTCAATACAATATATATTACCTATTACACAAAAAGGTAAATCATATACTAATCAACATGTATATAATTTATTACAATAAGCGAGACTCGCTCGCATTGATAAAAAACTAAACTGGGATGAAAATGTAAATTAATGAAAAAGACAGGCACACCTTAGAAAAACTAATACATAAATATAGTTGTATATAAACAACTCCTTCGCCTTATCTGTACAAAAAACAAATTCATAGACCAACAATAGAGATCATTCTACGAGCCCTCAAACCTCGGTACCAAACTCCTAAGTTTGCATGGAACTTTATCCGCGACTGGTATAATTTAAAGTGTTATTCGATAAGCTTCTTCGCCTTGAAGTACCGGCGGAGGTAGAGGACCTGCCACGTGGCGAGTCCCAGGAGGCAGACCATTGAGAATATGCTGAAGAATAGGACCCGGTTGTTGGTCGACTCTGGAATAAAATGATGACAGAGCCTGTGATGAATTATGACTGTTAGTTTACCAAGATATATTTATAAAGATGTATTCCTTAATTTCCGAAACCATTTTACAGTTTAATTAAGATCTTGCCTCTCAAACTAGTATTCATAGTTTTTCGAGACCCAATGTGGAATAAATATAAATCATTATATATATATATATATATATATATATATATATATATATATATATATATAATTTGAATATCATATCTACCACTATTGTACCCATATCGATGTGTTGGTGGAGACAACCGAGAGCCAAAAGCTTCTGTTTCTACTCATCTCTTGCTTTATTCACTTTAATAATTCATCTCATGAGCACACGCCGGTTACGGGGACTCTCAGACAATATACAATCTATGTGGTAATTGATTTCTTACCATTAGTGTCCCGCATCTCTTCCTCCCGCTTTCTCATCAACGTGAAGTCTTGGACGATGGCCTCTGACAGATCTTCTAGTCTCTTTAGTTCCAACTCCATTGGTTTCAATTTGGCTGCTTCGCCAATCTGTTAAAAATCAAAATTACATAATTTTTATTTTTTCTATCGTCAGATTTTTTTTTATCGATTATACATGTTTGTCGAGAGTTAAATAAAAATCTGTAATTTTTAGAGTTTTATATTAATAAAACAAGTATATGGCTCGTCAGAGGATCAAACTTGTGCAAACTTTATCGTCATTTGGAAACGTCAAGTGTGCTTTCTCTGGAAAATTTCAACCTTGCACTTTTATACAAGCCTATTAATCTATACTCCATAATATATTTATCAGTTTTTTTTTATTATCAATAAATATACAAGTTACAGAAATTATGTTACATTAGCATTATGATTTAAGATGCCGATTGCAGCCCTGGGCGTGAATTTGGCAAGATGCCAATTACTTCCTTATAAGAAATGCTTAATATTACTCCAGAACATGCTAACAGTAACTCGCGCACATGCAATCAGCAAGGGCTTCTTTTTGAATGATGGAATGGGAACCCCGCTTGCATTATCGGTATATACTGGCGAGGTACAAGTGAGATTGAAAAGCGGGGATGATGTCAGGTTAGTTGGCTCACTACGATAGTATACAGTAGAGACTGCGAATTCGACTTAAGGCTAGCAATGGTATGGGGGAAAGGATTGTTAACAATGGAGACTCCATTGCTAACAATATTATTCCCCCTGTATGCTACTGTAGTGTACCACAAGGTAATTCGTCACCATGAGCTAACTGACCTCACTGCTTGCTCACCTATTATCACTCACTGGTACCGTACCAGTATATGCCAACAGCATAGGCGGGATTACCACTTCATTTTTGTCCAATTAAACCCAGTAAGTACTACATGTGTCTTATGATAATAATCTCTTTGGACAATTTGTATAATTACGATAACACTTCACATACAGGTAGGCTAGTTGAGTTATTAATTGTAAATGTGGAAGCAAATGTCTGTCTATTTGTTTTTCAAAGCCAAATGGCCATTTAAAATTTCAATGAAAGGCAAGATGTTTCTCAGAGTGTAAATCTCTTGAAACGTAAGGAAGGGCAGTCTAATTTTCAAAATCCACTTCTAAAAGAGTGAAATAGATGAACAAAGTCTGAGATAAAAAGTTAGTTATTTACACATTAATAAAGGAGATACAAACATTAAAATTTTCTATTACCACCAGAATATCACAAAATCTCACACAAATTGGGGAAAATCTGTGTTAGTTCAATTAGTTTATTCATATGAAAGTAAACTTATTAATTACCCATTTCTGGTAGATTGTAGATTGTCACAGAAGGCCCACCGACAAATAATGAATACAAATTAATGTCATATAATACACATATAGAATTTTATTAAGTACATATTCAATCTCGAAGTGTGTTTTAAATACTTTTTATTGAAACTGGAAGTTTGACCATTTATTTTTTAGTATAGCGATTTCTAAAGTGGGTTCCACAGAAAAGTCAACAGGGTTTCGCCAAATTATTTATGTTTTGCTGTCAAATAATATTATAGTTAAGGATAAGTATTATTTAGAAATAGCGCAAAATGTGTGATAAGAAAAATTAAAAATATAACTGAGTAACTGAAGATAAAAAAGTTACTGCTATGTATGTAGGTAAGTGGTTATTAGTGGGTAGGTAGGTAATATTTCTAATAAATGTTTGTTCTTATTTAAATTACCCTTTGACTTATAATCATTTGATGCGGGAGTTTTATAAAATATATTTGTAATACTTTTGCTACCATTAGATGGTGTCAAGCATAAAAAATTATCAAATAAAACCACATTGCAACTGTTGCAATGCAATTTGTGCATAGACTTGGATAAATAAATTAAGTATAAAATAAAAAAAAATAAAAACATTTTTGGCTATAAATTGGGAGTAATAAACAGAATGCCTATTGTACCTGATTAAAAATTTACTGCAATTAAAGCTCCTACACAGACATAAAAATTTAAAGATTTTATGAAAACTTGTGGTATTTTTGGAAGGATATAGTGGGAGGAGTTCATCTTCATTATAATTTTAACAAGGCAAATAGTTTAAAAGTAACACAGTTTTCATATAAGCACAGCAGTGTTGTAATGTTATCTATGTCTGCACCTAAACAGAAAATTGGCAGAATGTAGTACTAAGAACAATTTTCTCCCTGTACATCAAGTAGTGCTAACACTATTTTATTAATTCTTATTGGCATTATATTAAAAAAAAATTAAATAATGACAGAATTATAATAATAGATTTTAATTTTATAAATAAAAATTGATATTAATGTAAATATATCACTTTTTTTATTTTGTACCTTCATGAGTAGAATATAACTTATCTTCTTAAAATGTTTATAATGGCATCACAGTAATTTAAATTTATTGCTAATGAAGATTTTATTTGCTGATAATATAATTTATTATTGGCTAGTTATAATATTAATAATAGTTATTAGTAATTAAAGTTAATAATAATAATATAATAATAATAATTTATTTCAAAAATAAATGTTACATTTTAAATATAGGTAAAACTCTGCTCCCTAAATAGGTAAATCCTGTACTTTAGGATAAGCAGTGCTCTTCCCTATATGGCACAATGACACAAAATTATACAAATAAAGAAACAATACAAGTTAAGGTACTAATACGGTAATAATTTAATTTGCCCAAAATAATATTTTGTAAATGAAATCTTGACTGTGTAATTTGTGAATGTATGGAATGGATGAGTTATTTTAAAATGGCAGTCATAACCTAACATACTACTAATAACAAATCCTCAGTTTCATCATATGTCTTACTTAATAGCCAATTACTAACAATTCTTTTGCATATATGTTTAGTTTTTGAATATATAGATAATTCCTTATTTGCCTTTTTATATAAATAAATATGGTCCCAAAAATAATAAAAACTTCCGAATAAATGATGTGTGAAATTTATTATAACTTTTTAAAGCTTGAACATCATTAACTCTTCTTTTATGCTCAGAAATATTTGCATCAAACTGATATATAGAATGTTGTTTACTTATAGTATTAAGAATATATAATTTACGGACAGAAAGAACATTACATTTTTGGTATAGCAAGTTTGTGGGATATTGAAAATCATAGAAATTAATAACCTTTAAAACAGCTCTCTGTGCAATCTCAAGATTTATTAGAACTGTCTTAGGAGCACCACCCCAAGCAACTATACAGTAGGTCAAAAGGGACTGACACAATGTAGTATAAGTTAGTTTTAGAATTTTCATATCTGCAACTTGCCTCAGACGTTTGAAAATGTAAATAAGTTTCCTAATTCTACAAGTTAATTTATTTATATGCTGTTTAAATGTTAAATTATTATCAATAAATACACCTAAATATTTTATTAGCTGTGTTCTTTCCAAAAATTTACATGAGCATGTTCTATTGTTTTTTAGATGTAATGGTAAACAAGTATGGGCAGTAATACATAAATTAACAGACGGTTGAGTAGACTCCCGGATGGAAAATGCAAGATATTTAGTTTTTTCTGTATTTAGAGATAGAGTATTATTAGTAAGCCATTGTGTGACTTCATTAATTCCCTCATTTGCAGCACGAAATACCTCCTCCCAAGTATCTGCAGTGAAAAGGAGAGCCGTATCATCGGCATAACATATGATATTACCATGGAGGGGTTTCAGTTTACATAGATTATTTATATAAATTAAAAATAAAGTAGGGCCAAGAATACTGCCCTGAGGGACACCATAGGTTATGGGAAGAGGTTTACTCCTATAATTGCCTATTGCAACCATTTGTGTTCTATTTGAAAGATAACTCTCAAATAGTGCAAGCTGAGTACCCCTTATTCCACTTTTCTCCAGTTTATGTAAAAGTGTAGTAACAGAGACCGTGTCAAAAGCCTTAGCAATGTCCAAGAAGATCCCCAGGCATTTTTTACTGATCTAGGCTACTAGATATAAAATTTAACATCTCTTCCACTGCATCATCAGTGGACCTTCCTGAACGAAATCCAAATTGATTATCTGACAAAATTTTATTTTTCTCAAGAAATTTTATTAGTCTAATATTAATAATACGTTCTAATATTTTAGATAGAGACGGAAGAATTGAAATTGGTCTATAATTTATTACACGGTCTCTATCACCACTCTTGTGAATTGGATAAAGTAGGGAAATTTTTAGTGCATCCGGAAAAACACCCTGGCTAAGACATAAATTAAATATGTAAGTTAAATATGGAATTAATTTATTTTTAAATTTTTTAAGAATTACATTAGATATGTTATCCCATCCAACTGAACAATCATTTTTTAGGTTCATTATTAATTGTGAGATTTCATTTTCGTCAGTACTGAGCATAACAAAAGAATTAAAATAATTATTACCGGAAGAAACATAAGGAATATTAAGATAATTTTGTCTAGTCTGGGGTATCTTTCCTGCAAGATTTTGGCCTACATTTGCATAATAGTCATTAATTTCATCAACTGATAGCTGGGGATCATTTAAATTTATAAGCTCATGAGGTGGTTGTTTATTTTTAGCACTATGAGTTATATTTTTTAAAGTTTTCCATAATTTTTTACTATCATTACCAGCTTTACTTAATTCTTGTCTTTCATATTCAGTTTTAACCTTCTTTATAATATCATTACAGAAATTACGATATCGATGGTAAGTTAAACGGATAGTTTCATTATCTGGAAACTTTTTATGTTTTCTATGTAGTTGATCTTTATTCTTTATACATTTTAGTAAACCAGGAGTAATCCAAGGTTTTAAGATTCGTTTAGACCTAGGAACTTTATACGTAGTCGTGTGTTTATTAATCAATGACTGTAGATTAGAAATTAAAAAATTAATGGCATCATTTGGATCGGTAATTTGAAAAATAGACTCCAAGTCAAGATTTTCTATATTTTTGCTAAAACTTATCATATTTAATTTTGAACGAATTGGATCGGAGACATTTACAATCTGATTAAATGATAAGCATAGTAACACTGCTTTATGGTCCGTTAATGTTGATTGAAGTACAATAGTTAAGGCTCGACTCTTAGATTTTAGCATCACATGATCTAAACATGAATTACTTTTATCACGTGTTACGAAAAGGTGTGCTGGAAATAAACCATGTGTTGCCAAAAGAGTCAAATACTGAACTGATCTATGATCCTCACAATCATTTGTTATATTTATATTAACATCTCCCATTACCGCAATGTTATTGAATGTTTTTAGTTTCGACAAAATTAAATTAAGTGATTCAAGGAATTGTTCAATATTGCAGTAAGAAGGCGATCGATAAATAGCTATTATGGCATACTCAGATCCAAACTCCATTACAAGAGCATTACCGTGTTTAAAAGTCGGTTCTTCTATATTAATATTGAGAGTATTTTTCCAATAGATGATGACACCCTCATTCTGATTGTGATAGATTTTGTTTGCACAGTGATTATATCCTTTAAGAGTTGGAATTACAGGGGAGAATGATAACCAACATTCAGTTAAAATCAAAATGTCAACATCTACGTTAATTTGCGCCAATAGCACCACAAGGCCATCAAAGTTCTTACCGATACTGCGAACATTTTGAGTTAAAATTTTTAAACATTTTTCTTTAGGAACAAAGTCAATACACTTTTCCGTGTCACATACCATAGATTTAGATACCTCAATCTGATCCAAATCATCAGCAATATTATTTAATATATTGAATTTTAAAAATAAAAATAAATGAACCATTTTTTTTCTTAATGATAAGTAATGATATCACCGACTTCAAAATCTGAGCCATTTTTAAGTTTTTAGACAAAAAGGCAAACAAATATAAGACCATTTTAAAACAGACAGATGTAATATGATGAGATATATGTGATGTAAGTTGTTGTGTAAATGCATGTACTTTTCTAGAAGTAAATGTGGATAATTTAACAGCAGATTTGCTTAATATGTTAATACTATAATAATTACTACATATAATAAAATAAGTAAGATCAAAGTAAACCAGAATAAAATTAAATGCGACAAACAACAAGAAATCTAGTCAAATTATCTGTTTCGGCTTAGGAAGATCACTCTCGTCGTTAATTCTGTATAGAGGCATATTTTCAGCTTTACGAAGATATATAACTCCTCTGGAGGTCCAGCAAAAAGCATAGCCATTATTTCGAGCATATTCTCGAGAGAGATAAAAAAGTCTTCGAGTTTTTTGGGTCAGAGTTTCAGATACAAATATTGTTTTTTTAGGTACTTTCAAATTTAAATGAGATGTATTTAACTTATCATTAGGAGCTTTATTCTTATTGAACTTTTTAATCGCTTCTAATATTTTGTCTCTTTTAATCACTGACGAGAATTCAGTAATGATTGTTTTGTTGAATTCTTTATTTGTATTAATTCTGTATACATCTTTTATTTCAGCATCATGAACTTCAATATTTAGAGACTTCCCCATACATTTAACTATGTTACTCAAGTCTTCCTTCGACTCTGATTTTCCGGTTTCAGAACCACTCAAAGGTACATTTCTAATTTCAAGTCCTGAGACTCGATTTTTACGTTCCATTTGCTCTATTTTGTCCTCTAGAGAGTGAATACGTTTCTTATCCTCCGCTCTCTCCTCTTTAAGAGTTTGTATTTTGGTCAGTGTCTCCTCATATTTTGCGGATAAGAATTCTAAGCACTTTGAAATATCAGTGTTCTGCCTTTCAATATTAGCAACCGTCTGCTGTAGTTCATTGAAACGAGTAGTCTGTTCAAGCGAGAATTTATTAAACATGCTCTTCAATTCTTCCACATAAGGGTTCATGTCACCAGAATCATTTCGTCGTCTTTTACTACGCAGTATTTTAGTACTTTTATCTATTTGTTCTTGTGGAATATTCAAGTCTGGCGCTGAATCATAATGCTGCAGTAGTGATTCCCTAGATGACAGGGAAGCAGTCGACGCCGTTACTACTGATTGGGATGTTGATATTTTGGGTGGAGTTCGTTTCAGGGGCATTATCAGTCAATACAATTAAAATCAGAAGAAATAATAGATACAAAAAATTTTGTTATTTTGTATATAAATATCAATTGCCCACCGACGAAATCAAAGATCAGACTACAATGGTCAGTGCTCAGTTGAATGTACAGATATCCACTTTAATGAGAACTTTAAGTGACTCACAAAAAATATCTAGTGATGCACAGGTGTCTTGATAAATGGACATCGATCGCCAAAATAGAACAATATCGCTTTCCGTCCAGTTACGGCTGACCCCCGATAATACAGAACGCACTATCTCCTTCTACCCTATATAATTACATCAATTTGTCGTTTCTTCTAGCTCTAGCTGACAAAATTGCGTGGATTATCGTAATAAAAATTATAAAAGGGTTCAATATCAAACTCACGCAGCAAGTTGTGCTTAATTTCGATGCTCGTGATATACTTGCGCTGTCTTCATACACTCCTAGTATTACTAGAATTATTATAGTGTATTTCTATTTGTTTAGAGTACTATTAAAATAAACTATTGAAACAGAATTTGTACACACGTCCATACACTACGGAGATCCGAGGGGAAGAGGATATTGTTTGTATGATATAGAAGTATATTTACTACTATAGAATAACACTAGGTAAATAAATATATGTAAATCATATTGTTTTCCAATACTTACTCCTTCATAGTTTTTAGCTTCAATTCCAACTTTAATGTCTAATGTTACATCTTGGCTGATACCACGGCGTTCTGAAAGGAAATAAATTACACAATGATAAAATATATATATATACTTTCTCATATTTGATCTATTAATTTACTTGAAGATGCCTCATTTAGAGGTGAAACACAAAATCTGTGTGGAAAAATCATTAAATGTAACATATACATTTAAAAAAAAAAATTTAATCAATTGTGACACCAATGAATGTTAAGAGATTTTATATATGCAATAGAATAAAATATTTGAATTTAGAACATAAAATTGTGCTTTTACAAGTTTGCTTGCCATTCTTTTTTATAGAACCAAGAAATTGTTGTAAAAAAAAAAAATGGCAAAACTACAATAGAATTTTTTTAAATTTTTATTTAAAAACTTAACTATATCAAGTACAACTAAACTAAATTGATTTTAATAAAATATCTAAAGGGACCAATCTGTAAGTATATCCATTCAGAAATTAAAAAGAAATCCCAAATCAGGTTATTAACTGACAGAATTATGAGGTAACATAATAAAAAAGAACTTTTTTTATAACCTTTCTAAACTCAGTTGAAAATATTAGGGTTTTTTAATAGACCACTTCTTTAAACAGATACTAATGATTCAGATTTGTACCTAAGGTATGAATTTCTAGTAACAGATATATAAATAACCTTTTAATCATTTTATAAGACATAATATAAAATTTATATGTTAAAACAAGTATAATTACCTGGTGGAACTTTAGATATGAAGCACACTTCAAATGTGTCATATGTCTCAGTGACAAAAGTGAATTTTCCTTTGCTTATTGAATCCTTCTGTGATAGAATGTGGCCCTTTGAGTCACGAATCTGTTGAACACAAATTCAATAAGTGCAATTTTATAATATAAAATAAAATTAATTTAAATAATGAGGGGGAAAAATGTATGCAAATCATAAATTTTTTTGCGATTTAAAAATGGCAATCAGGTGGTTTACCTGATGGAAAATTATAACTTTTGCTTGTAGACATGAACATCACCATTATATTATTGACCATTATTTCTAATGCACACATAATTAAATAAACATCATTTTTAATTTAATTTAAAAAATAAACGACATGAAAAACTTATCACTTCTAGATTCCAATTACAACTTCACATTTAGGTTTTAGGATTACAGTCGTCGTTTATAAAGCTCTTTTCCTTGGTACAATTTTGTAACTTTTTTAATGGTACAAAAATGTGTAAATAAGTTTGTGAGCCTGATGATACTATTAGCATCATTGTTTTTATGATATAATCTCAGTAATATAGATAGATATTTCATTAATAACATTAGACATCCGATCTGAAATTAAATAGTGTTGATATTGTAACCCTCACTCTTGCACCTGTTATTACCGGTAAATGAAGATTATAATAAATCGTATGATTCAGGGTTATATCATAAGGGGGGTGGATATCATACGACAAATACTAGTTGCACAACTTACTATGTAGTCAATTCTTTGCCCTGTAGCTTCTGTGACTTCATACTCGCCAGCCACGAGCACGTTTGCATGTAGTTCTTCTTTCAAACATTTCTGAGTGTTGGGAGCCAGACTCCACATTATACCTTCAGTGCCATGCCAAAAAACACTCAATACGAACAGAAGATAGTAAACTTCCATATTATCAGCTAATCCTAACAGTTATCTCGCAATAAATAAGTTAGAATTCATAACATTTATTGGGGAAAACAAACATATTCTATGTCAAAAGACCGATGAGTTGGCCCAAAAGAAAAAACGTCGCGACGCGGCCGTCACGTCAAGTCATTGCCACTTGCCGTTGTAAAAAAATGTAAATTTATTATTTCATTCAGGATTAAAATATACTTATATCAAATTGGTTTTTAGTTTCAGTTGTAACAAATTAATAAAACAGACAGAAAAATATAATTAAAAATTTATAATTTAATACAACTATAAGCAATACAACTAATGATATTTTTTGATGTTATCCTTTTAAACCTTGCAACTTTGATGAAAACTATTACATAGATAAAGAATAGTATGTATTCTTTTACGCACCATTTGAAAGAAATTAGCTTGTGCATCAAAATAGACATTGACTACTCCAATCTTGTTCTTATTAAATACGAATCTATATTGCCGTTGGTCAAATGACAGAATGCTGTATCCCTTGTTCTTAGGCTGTGTCACATAACATTATAAAAAAAGAGGTCTTTTTTTTATTTTAGCAAGGGTTTTGTACTACTGTTGACCAGAGATATTGGACATTAGTGTTAATGCAATTTTTAGCGAGTCCCTGTGTGCCCTCTACCGGGATGAATTGCCAAATTGCTTTTTTATTGTCACTGCCATAAGTCACAAGTGTTATATGTCAACATGACAAAAATTGGAAATGCTATTGCTTTTTACAAAGCAAATTTCTTAAATAACAATTTTCTAACCTAATTCTATTTACTATAAATTTATTTTAATATAACAGCGTAAATTGCAAGAGGTTTAGTTGAAAACAGAAATCTCTCGTTGCTGTTATAATGAAAAAGTAATATGGTATAACGGTGGTGAAAATTGTAAAAACGTCTTCGCTTTTGACAGTCACTTGTACTAATTTTTGTGAAATAAGTTTTCTTAAAGCTATATAATAATAAAATTAAAGGATTGTTTAGTGTTAGATGATCTTGACTTTAAATATCGTAGTGTCACATTGAAGTATCCCATGTAAGTTAATGCAATTCTGCATCTTGCGTGTTTACATAATATCTGTGCTTTTAAAGTCAGTTTTTTCCTGTGTTCAAGTTTTTTGTGTCTTCTAGATATAATACTGTAAAATATTTGGATAATTAACGCTTATAATTGTTAAATAAATGCTTGTATTGAAGAACAATAACTTAATAATTCTAACTATGTAATAGAAGTTAAAATACTTAGTTATATTTAGTGTATTAAGCAAACAATCTTATTATATCTTTTTGTTGAAATAAGTTTATAAAATGAACAGCTAAAATATAAAGATTTGTATCATAATTGTTCCTGTCTGTATGGTGATGGAGAAACAATACAGTGCATCTCCACTTATTTTTAAATTTAGGATATTAGTAAGTAGGGATAGATAATATATAATAATAATATATATTGTTGTCATAATATTGGCACACAAATTTATTAAATGTTGGTTATTTGATATATAGTATTAAAGGGAAAAGATTGTTAGTAATGAGGATCTTACTATACCTATATATACTCCATGTAGTTTCCCTGGAAACCACCTTGATTAATCTTGATCTGCTTTCATCTCTACCTATCATCTCTCACTGGTGGGCACCAGTCAGCATATACCATATACTGATAGTACAAGTGGGATTATTTTTTCATTAAAAAAATATGTTTAAAATAGAAATGAAATTAATTTAAATATCTAAAAGTTGTATCTAACTAGGGCCATTTATTTTTCTTTGTTATTTAGTTTCATTAATTCTATAAAGACTTGCATTATTTCTATGTAATTGTATGATTTAAACTAAATATTAATAATCAGTTTTAATGATTTAAATATGTTCTTTGTGGAAATACTAATAATAATAAATAGAATACTTATTTATTAGAGGGAGACAGTACAAAGTTATCTGCATGTGTACCACTGTATCACAAATTTTTCTGTTATGAACTAGCTGTGTATGCATGGTTGTATTTCGGTTTAAAGTGTGGAACATGGTAGTGAAATTTTAATGTACAAAAGCAAGTCTTAGTTGTCTTAGAAGTATCATAGACTTGGCATTATACTTTGTAATTTCATAGCACTGTTCATGTCTATGTGATAATTCCACTTTCAATCAAGTTTCAAGCTTGTTTGTTGACTAGAGTCGATTTTGAGACATTATTCTTTGCTGACCAAATTACAAAAACCTATCTCTAAAATTAAAATTTAATTTTAATATTACAGCAAAATTTTTATTGTGAGAACATATATGAATTAATTTCCTAATAACATTAAGTTCAAATTATTATAAATTTAGTTTATGAAGTTCTGTAAAATAGGACTTTTGTAAAATTAACAAGTTAAAAAAGAAATTGAAATATTAAGTTAAGACTGATAGATTTAGAGAAATAGTATCTCAGAATCTACCTATCGATCAATCATTATGTTTGGTTTTTAATCATTCCATTCCGTTGATAATGTTAATGATTTAAAATTAATGATTTATTATCAAATATCCATTACTCCATTACTAACTAACTCTATCTGCAATGTTTCAGGTCTTGTCAAGTTATGTACCAGTATGATCATCTGCTATGTGACCCAAGAAATTCTCATCAAATATGTGAACGACAGCCCAGACAAATAGTGTGTCATCACCATATCTGACTGATTTCAGGTAAGTCTATGATCTTTTACTTCTTTCCTATGTTTACTGCCGCATATTGATTGATTACATTTTGTCAATTTAATGTTTTTTTTAAAGGGTGAAAATAAAATGGTAATCCCATCTGAAACACTTTGTGTTACAAAAATATAAATAAATATAATAAATAAAGAAATATTTTTTTCCTAGAATCATAAATATACTGATATTATAAATATGAAAGTTTATAGCAGTGTTGAATCAATCTTGAGTCCTATTGACATTGCTCAGTTTAGATATGTGATGATGAATGGTATAACCATCACGAATAACAATCATAGAATGGTATATCAACCAATATGTAACACTTATATAATACGGACTTAGCCAAACATAGGATTTTAAATAGGAAACTTCCTAACATTCTAAATATGAAAATCTCTAAAGATATTTATTTAGTCATGCTTAAAGACCAACCACACTGAAGTTCCAACATGTGTTAATTGGTACTGTATTGATGGTAACAATGGCATACATAGAGAAAAAGCTGTGAAGTATGAGAATTTCTCACAATAAAATTTTATACAAATAGGAAATAATTTAAAACAGGTTCACAATTCTCAGTAATGTCGGAATAAATAAAAAAAAAAGAAGTACATTTAGATGAATCTATAACAATTTAAACTGATATTATCTATAAGTCTTTATTGATTTTGGATAACCACAGTTCCAATGATGATTACTAGCTAGAAATTCTTGTCAAATTTGCATAATTAAGATTGTAATATTTTAGACTATTATGGCCAGTGGGCCTGACTCCTTTGAAAAAGGTTATTTGATTAGAATTATTTTAATTCCGCTACCATTAGTATATGTGCGACTGCAAAGACTCAAAGATTGATCACCACTATTAATACCAGAAGTTTCACAATGTTCCATATTAGCCATCAATCTCCGAAACTTAAAAATAAATGGTAGCAGAATTAAACAAAATAATTCTAGTCAAATAACCAGTGATATGGACTTCCGCATGATAACACCCAGTTCACTTTAAAACAGGCATGTTTTTACTTTTAGACATGTTTTTGCGCATAGTTGAAAACTCCAATCGCATCCTAGGGTGGGCAACAAACTATACCTTTTTTCCTTTAAATACGCCTATGTAAATTATAGGGATATCAGAACTACTTTTATGGTATTGTTACTTACAGATAGTATCGTGTGAAATGATTGGAACAAACATTTTTCATTTTCCTAAGATTGATCGTCATTTATTAGTAATTATTTCTGATACTGTCTCTTGCATTGGTGTATTTAAGATTCAGTGGTGCCTGGCCCCACAAAAAAAGCCTAATCTTTGGTTTTATTTATTTATTTTAATTTTTTTATAATGTATAAAGTCTCGCATCCGAAAAGTGGGTATTGACGACCGGCACGAATGCTAAAGTTAAATGAGTTAAGGGGCTGCCTGTAAAGCAGCGCTGTATATGTGCATCTCGCTGTAGATGTGCATATATAGCAACAGCTTAGGTAGCTCCTATTACCAGCACAATCTGTTTTTATTTTTTTATTTTATTATTATTTAACTGTAATTATTGTTTTAACTGTTGTTGGTAAGAATAAAAAAATATATGTTTTTAGTGCTTAGCTGAGAGGTCATCTTGGATCCTGGGATGGGCATCAGAAAAATCTGGGGTATTTATGGCCTTTAGCTATAGCATACTCTTGTGCTTCATGTTTCTTGCAAGTTTTAGGTTGATTTCTAAATTTGAAATGTATGTGGAGGCGAAAGGGATTGTTAGTAATGAGGTTTAATATCTCTATTGCTAGCAAAGCTCAGGTCGATCTCCACGAAACTATATCATGGTGGGCCAACTGATCTGTATTCATTTTCACCTATCATCTTCCACTAGTGCCTCGTCGGTGTATACCGATAGCGCGAGTGGGGTTACTATTCCATTTTCACCCATTAAAAAAAATACTATGTATGTTGTTAGCCAGCTCATATGAATAGCATGAGAACGGTCTATTGCCCATTGTTACTTTGATTTGGTGCATATGCTCTTTTGTAAGTATCCATGTAGCGGCTGCTTGTTATTATTATTACTAAATCAGCCGTTAACTGTCCACTGCTGGACATAAGCTTTCCCCATAAGGGGAGTTCTGCCAATTGTTGCCACGCTTGGCAGGCGGGTTGGCAATCGCAGTTAGGCTTTGGTGGTGTTTTAAGCAGGACGCTTTTGCTCATCTCTCGACCATAAGATTCCCTTAGTGACCACTTACGACACTCACGGGACAGAATGGAAAGGAAATTTTATACTAGGACCACACGGTAGTGCTTGTGTTAATGGATAGCACATATTTATACAGTCTTAATTTCAAATTTCCTGGTAATAAACTGCATCCGTAGAGTGATAATGTTTCAACTAATAATCAAGGTCAGCGTTTAAATTCAATGATGCCGTTACAAATTCCCAGATACCGTTTATAATATTAGTTCATTATTATTATGCGTTATTTGTTATTATTTTTTTAGTGTCGGTTTTTGGACCGGTTGTTCAGCCTCTCTAGACAAGAGGCAAATGAATCTATCTATAGAATCATTATCCAATTTGCAAAGTTATTTGTTTGATTTTTCATTTGACTGGTATATAATGCCATATAGTGTAAATTTCGCTTTTTACACTGTGCAGATGTTTTAAAGTTCAATTAATAAATTTGTTGTAAAGTTGTCTATCTATTTAGATTCAGTCGCTGGTTTATCGTAGTGGGATAGCAGAAAGATAAAGGGATGGAATAAGGGAATATATGTATAGTTCTTTAGAGCACACCAATTAGAATGTCTGTTTGAAAGACAGTAGAGTGTTTAATTATATTTCATCTTATTTTTTTTTATACAACTTAGAATGGCAAACAAGCTGACGGCCCACTTGACGGAAAGTGGTAACCGTCGCCTATAGACATGAGCAGTACCATAGACATAACAGAGTATACTGTTTCACCCATGATACCACCCATGCGTTGCCATTCCTGAGGACTCAGGTGTTATTCCTCTGTACCCAGTAAATTCACGCCATATCCACAACTGCTTCACGGTTGAAACACGAATGGGACAGAGGTACCCAAGCAAACGACTTTTGTACAAAGTCTCCCTCTGGTGGTCTGGTCTTATTTTACTTTCATCCTAATACCTACTAGTTTTAGTTTTTGTTATCTTTTTGAACTCGTTAATACACCAGAAATAATAATTTTCCTATCGAAAAAGAAGAAGCAATTTGCGTTCCTATTCTTCCCTACCATAGGTATATGAATCTTGGGTACTTTGGTACCTTCTATAGTAAATTATTTTTTAACGGTAAAATCGGTCATACGTCATCTATATAGGGTTGCCATTCATGTGGTTTTGTCCAGACTTCCAGTCTTCGGTGCGATTATTCAGATTATATTTTCTTCGAATAATATTATTAATTATTATTACTTTTATAAGTCTTTTATTCTTATACTAATATTTCTACTATACGCTTATGTAAATGTATTGTGTCTTTTGGCAAAGGCTTTTGCCGTTTTTTTTTTTAATTTTAACGGGCTTAAAAAAAGAAGGAAGATTTCAATTCGGTTTTTTACCTTTGTTTCCTCATAACTTTGTCATTTATAAACCAATTTGGAAAATTCGAAATTTAAAAAGGCGCATATGTATTCTCAGACACATTTCTGTGAAACTTTACTCACAATCTGCAGTGGGCACTAGTCAATTCTGGGATGGGCAACTCGCATTTGACTGGTTTTTTCTGTATTTATATAGTTGGAATCTAAGGCATATCAAAGATTTAATTCATTCTCTCCATTTTTATTTTATTTTACAAATCGAAAAAAGATTTTTTTATGTACCTATTTATATAGTTGATGGAATCTAAAGCATATCTAAGATTTAATTCATTCTCTCCATTTTTTTTTATTTTACAAATCGAAATAAGTTTTTTATGTACCTATTTATATAGTTGATGGAATCTAAAACATATCTAAGATTTAATTCTTTGTCTCCATTTTTATTTTATTTTATAAATCGAAATAAGTTTTTTTTTTATGTACCTATTTATATAGTTGATGGAATCTAAAGCATATCTAAGATTTAATTCATTCTCTCCATTTTTTTTTTATTTTACAAATCGAAATAAGTTTTTATGTACCTATTTATATAGTTGATGGAATCTAAAACATATCTAAGATTTAATTCTTTGTCTCCATTTTTATTTTATTTTACAAATCGAAATAAGTTTTTTTTTTATGTACCTATTTATATAGTTGATGGAATCTAAAGCATATCTAAGATTTAATTCATTCTCTCCATTTTTATTTTTATTTTACAAATCGAAATAATATTAGAGGAACTAAACATGCTAAAAAGAAAAAAACAGATTTAATTATGACGGTATCTCCTACTTAGATATTACGTGTGAGTATTCCTGTTTTGACTTTTGATAGCATACAGAACGGTCATTACTGCAGCTGATTGCTTGACCATATCGTTAATATTAATATTAATGTGATAACATCTAGATAGTAAGAGAATAATAATATTTTCTAAGTTCTTTTTTTTTTTATTTATACAACTTAGAATGGCGAACAAGCTGACGGCCCACCTGATGGAAAGTGGACAGTACGTAAGCCGTACCATGGACATAATAGAGCATACTGTTTCGCCCATGATACCCCCCATGCGTTGCCATTCCTGAGGACTCAGATGTTATTCCTCTGTACCCTGTAAATTCACGCCATATCCCCACCCTGGGACAGAGGTACTCAAGCAATCGACTTTTGTACAAAGTCTCCCTCTGGTGAAGTTCTGAGTAGCATTAACAATTACAAGTTCTGATTTATAATTATTCAAAATTTTCTACCTTATTTTCTTTTAACTGTGCTGTTCTGATTTATTTTAATAAGAATTATAAATAGATACTCTTTATTGTTTCCTCCAAAAGATTACAACAGTAAACTTATTATAAATATAAACAATTACATATAGTTAGAATTAT